CTTTTCCACAGTGGCTACAAAAGTATCTCTCTCAAGTTCACAAATAATTCAGTTGTGTGTATGGTGGGGGTGGCATTTTGTATCTGGAAATTGAGAGTTGGGAAGTTTGAAGTTTAAAGGTTTCCCAGGAGATTTTGATGATTCACTAGGACGGGGAACCCCTGATTTGCCTAGGCCAGAGATGATGAACATTTTAGTGACCGAGGGCCCAAACTGCAACCCCAAACCCACTTATTTATCACAAAGTACCAACACTGCAATTAAACCTGAATATATGTTGCTTGGCTGCTGGGGCCATGCTGGGATGACCTGGCTCGTGCCCACTGCAGCATGCCCAGGGCCAAAGGTTCACCATCACAGGCTTAGGTCCAGCCTCTTAGACATGAACCATCTCTTGAATGGCTCATTGCAGTGAGACTTGGATAGCTGGGGGTTAGGAAACAAAGTAAGCCGAGGTAAGAGGTTGGAGAGAGGAGGAGATGGGGTTTAGAAATGAGACCAGTGGATTGTCAGCCAATGGGATTTCTTTCACCTGCCAGTGGCCAGGTACCGAGTGACTGTGTGCACAGGGGAACATGAAGGTGCGGAAACTGATGCCAACGTCTATCTCTGCCTTTATGGTGATGTGGGGGACACAGGGGAGCGGCTGCTCTACAACTGCAGGAATAACACTGACCTGTTTGAGAAGGGCAATGTAAGTTGCAACAATGTGCGACTCCCCAAACTCCCCTTCCTTGGTTTTTTCTTTTCCTTGCTCTTACGAAGTATAGCTGATGGCTGGTAACGGAGCCTTAGTCAGGGAATAACCTCTTTCTGAGTGAGGGGAGTAAGGGTTTGGGGCAGGAACTACTGGAAGGGCTTGTTTATTTGGTCTCTGAGCATTTCATCCACTCTGGCAAACCAATATGCGTAGTACCTACCACAGCTCCTAGAACCATGCAGCTAAGAGTGGGAGCCATCCTAAGGGGTCACAGTCCCCTCCCAACTCCAAGTTTTGAGAAGAGGGGAAGCTTACGGCAGGTGGAGGGAGAAGATTGCTGGCATTTTAAATACACACAGGAGCACTAGGGCTGGAAGAAAGCTGGGCACCTGCGACCGTCATGGAAACCCTGTGTTCTCTGCTAGACATGACCACTCGGTGCCTCTTGTTGCTGTCCTTTTTGAGAGCGAAAATAAGAAAGACATTAAACCCAGAGGTGGGAGGACAAAGTTCTGTTGCTACCCTCACGGCACATACGTGTTCCCTTCTCTTACCCCAACTATAAATGGATTTCCTGAGGAGAACCTGTGGAAGAATGGCCAGGCTCTGGGGCAAACCAGTCTTGGGACAATCACTCCATTCCCTTGTGCCTAGTTTTCCTCATGTCTAAAATGGAGGAAAGGACACCTGCCGATAGCTGGCCAGTGTGGGAATTCGAGGTGGCTGATGTACAGCTCAGAGTACACAGTAGAAGGTCACTGTGCCTGTGGGTAAAACTCAAGGGAGCTCCCAGATGAGAGAGATTTGCAGATGTCTTTGCTCTGTCTCTTTCCTCTACCACCCATTCCTTGGTGAGGGCAGGTTTGATCCCAGAATGTCAATAGAGGCCTCTCTCTGAGGCCAGTCTAAGCTGCCCTGGTTCTTAGATCATGGGCATTTGAAAGTTGTAGGGTAAAGATCATCCGAGTAGGATGCTGTTGTAGGGGCCAGTGCATGTGGGGAGAGGAGGTGAGGCTGCCTTTACCCCACATGTCTTTGTATATTTCTTCTCCTTCCTTCCCACCCACGTGCCCATCCACCTTTGTATCCACCCTTTCCCACTCTTCCTGCTATATCCTCCGATATCTCTGCCCATCATTCCCACCTCTAGTGCTCCCACTCATGGAAGCTGCCAATCACACTCATGTGGACTTGAAATTCTCCAGCCCCTACTGCATTTTTGCTATCTCAATGGTAGGCAAAACTGAAGATTTAGCAAGACCTCCAGGTTCCCCCAACCAATTCTAATGGTTCCTCTCTTCAGAAGGGGACCAGTGTTCCTCTATATAGCAAGGCAGTAGAGAAGTTAGCCAAGAAGTTATTTCATGTAAGTAGTTAGTGACAACAGTTTGACATGTTCTTACTCCCACGAGAAGCTGCCTTTTAAACAGGTCATAGATAATGGCAGCATTTAACCAAAACATACAAATAGCAATTGTTGGGAACCCAATATCGAATGACATTCCAGCAGGAGAAATTGGGAACAGATTAAGATCTGTTCCCTATTGGTGGCCCTGTCCCACCTGTGAAAGACCAGTAGCTCAGACCTTTCTGTTTTCCTAGTGTATGTCTTCCCTTGGTCTTGGGTTCTGGGGTAGCTGCCACCAGCTGGCCTTGTTGTCTTTCCTTCCCTAAAGGCAGATGAGTTCACCATTGAGTGTGTCACCTTGCGGAAGGTGCGACGGGTGAGGATCAGACACGATGGCAAAGGCTCAGGCAGTGGCTGGTACCTGGACCGGGTGCTAGTGAGAGAGGAGGGACAGCCAGAGAGTGACAACGTGGAGTTCCCGTGTCTCAGGTACATGAGTTCCACTTACTTTCACTTCCTCCAGCTTAGATCCTAGTCCCCAAGTTTGAGGAAAATCCATTCATTCCTACTTGCAGGACCAGTGAGCAAAATAGTGGCTTAAGGCTGTACTTGGTGCAAGAAAAAGTTGTCTTTGCTGGCGGCACCCAGACCTGAGCCACAAATTCCCTCTCGGTCCCCTAGGTGTATTTGTAGTTTCCTCTATTTAAGTACTAAAATGTTGACATTTCCTCAGATAAAATTTGATAATTTCAAAAACAAGAGCCATCTCAGAGGATGATACATGCTGAATTAAACTTTGGATTAAAGGTGTTTTATTTTAGTGACGTTCTAATACATCTTTTTGAAGTATCTTACTTTGTTTGCATTTCTCTTCCCCAGCTTGTGGGTGAGGTAAAGTTTCTTTTCTATGAGGCATTTAGATTTGTTACTCAGCCAGCCTGGCCTTCCACTGACTTCTAGAAGTCCCTGACAGAGGCATTTTAAGACCAGGAGGATTTTCAGTGTCTTTGGGCCGTCAAAGTGGCTCTTACCCTTACCTTGGCAGTGCCCAGGAAATGGACACAATGACTGACTGGGATCTGAGTTGTTACTTAACTCCCCTATGGACAAAGCAGACTTTCTCTGCCAGGATCAGAAAGCATTTCGGCTATGGCAGGTTGTGTGTGTGTGTGTGTGTGTGTGTGTGTGTATGTGTGTGTACACTCTTGTTCACCCAGGGAAAGAGTAATGAAGTCACCAGCAGACTGACTTATCCATTTAGCAACATCTCACTGTGAAACCAGGCTAGAGCATTTGAAGCTTTTTTTGGGCAATATCTATTAATACCCTGCAAGTATTTAGGTGGAAATGAACTGACAAGACATGGTTTCCTCTTACTGCTGGATAGGGGCTGGGGCTGGGTGAGTGGAGAGAAAAGAAGGGAAAGCAGGATTTCTGGTGGCTGAGGGCCTGCAGCCCTTCAATTCTCCACCCCCAATTCATGGCTGTGGCTACATCCCAGTCTCCTCCTCCACAGGCTCTGTGACTTGGAGGTGCCAAGGTGACCTCAGCAGGGTGGCTTTCAGGGACTCTAGCTAGCAGTCTTCTGTTCCCAAATCCCCTGTCATGGATGCTCAGGATTCCACCATGTGTCTTCATGTCTCAGAGTCTCAACATTTCTCTGGTGTTTTGGGTTCATAGCACCAAAACCCACAGAAGGGCCACAGATGAGTGGTTGGCTAGCATGTTAATGTTAGCTAATAGCCACTGACAGCAAGGTCTATGGGAATGTAAGACCATGGGGCGAGGTGGGCCATGATGCCTCCTTGGGCCCTGGGAAAGAAGAGTATGTGAGCCCAGAGGCCTGAGCTGCAAGTCAGGAGGGTCAGGGAGAAAGTAGCACTTTGGATTCCTTCATGGCTGGGTGACCTGGGGGATTGCCTCCCTCCTAGCAATATAGTATGGATGGCTGCAAAGGCAAGCACTAAGACATCAAGCAGAGAGATTCTCTGATCGACAGGTAAATGTCTTTATTTCTGCCACACCTGGAGAACACTGAAACTGTTTGCTGTGCTGCCATTTGTCCCAATCATAAGCCAGCCCGAGTATGGGGCTTAGATATGTGTGCTGGCATGATGGTCTCATTTCTCAGACTGGGCCCTTACACTCAGTGGAAAAGGCGCTTTTCAGGTTGTGAGTACACTGTTTTTCCCCTGGGAAAGACCAGCAGAGAGCCAAGCTGCAGCTCACAGCAACATATCGATATGTCACAGCTAACAAACCCAGCTGTGCAGGATACAAAGCCAGCTTATTCAAGATGAATCTTACTCGTCTTTGAGGACTTAGGTCCAGGCCTCTTCACTGAGAGCCCTTCTTCTTTTCCTAAGTCTCTTGAGCACTTACTCTGGTCCAGCCCTATCCCTGTCTTGGTCTTCAGTGCATCACTCAGACTATCCTGTCTTCTTAGCTAGACTGTAGGCTCCAGGTGTCCTGGGCTGTGTCTTATTTGTCTCAGTATCTTCTCTGCCTTCCCCTGGCCAGAGCCCTTGGCTGCCACCATGCACAGGGAAGCTTTTTGGAAAAGAAGTTAGTGGTTTCTGATAATACTGTGGCTTTTTACTGTGATCACAAAGGCCCTACATCCTGTGGCCTGTACCCATCGCAGCCTTATCTACCAATACCTTGCCCCTCCCTCATTGCATTCAACCTCGCTCCTGGATTTCTTCCCTCTGGAATGCTCCTCCCCTCTCTCTTGGTGATTCCTTGTCATCCTTCCAGCCTCAGCCACCTCTCATCTGCTCCAGGAAGTCCTTCCCCAAGCTGGGCTGGAGTGCTTTGCTTGCAGCTCTCATAGTCCTATTTTCCTTTGCTGAAGTCAAAACTGTGGGCACCCGCCAACTCTTATTAATGGTGTGAGAGTTTGGAGTGTGCTGCCCCACTCAGACACTTAACATCCTCCTGTTTGCTCACCAGGTGGCTGGACAAGGATAAGGATGATGGGCAGCTGGTCCGAGAGCTTCTGCCCAGTGACAGCAATGCTACACTGAAGAGTGAGTCATCCTGACAACCGGGTGGTGGGACACCTTGGTGGGACGGGTGCCTTCCTTTCCCTAAATTGAAGCAAGCCCTTTGAGAGAACATGTGCTCTTCACTTCGTTTCATGAAGAGGACACTGGGAGGTACAGATGGGAGGCCCTCAGGGAGGGTCTGGATATTTCTTTTGTATCCTGCGTGGCCAAGGGTGAGACCCTGAATGCATATGGTCAACAGCCTAACAAAAACGATAGCTTCAGCTAATGGTACCAAGCATAGGTGGGACCTACATTCCCTTGTGAGAAGAAACACATTTTGCAGGGACTGTAAAATGAGAAAACTTTAAAAATTTCCAATAGTATTCCAGAGGCCTTATAGTTTTACTCTACTAGTAATATTTCTTCAAGTCCATTGACCATTATTGAGCTTTAGACAAAATTTAATAGAAATTTGTCTCCAGAATCCCAACAACATCAACACCTCATGTTTACAATTTCTATCTCAGTTAAGCCCTGTAATAGGCTAGAAGTGAGCCAAACTAACATTGTACATTCATCTGATGGGGACACTGAGGTCTGGAGGAGCTAGATATTTTCATCTGACCTTTCTGAAGGTCAGATCCCAGAGTCACACTTGTGTTCAGTGTCTGGGCTCAGAATGAGCAAAGTCAAGAGCTGGGAAGGGCCTCAGGAAAGGAAGTGACCCATGCCTATGGTCAGGGACACCCCACCTATGCACCTCATTCCTGCAGTGCTGGAACCATGACCCAGGATGTCTCTGTATTATGTCACTGCTCTTCACACGCTGCCCACGCCTGACTTGCCAAGTGAACGGAGCTTCGAGGCCTTCCTTCGCCAGACAGAGCTTTTGAAAGGATTGAGATGGAAGCTGGTATAAGAAAGAGGTTTCTAGTTCCTGCTCCATCTTTTAGCAATGAGGACAGAGCCGTTTTCACAAGTGCCCTCAGATATCCCTGGTGGAGCTGATCTGACACAGGTGTGGGTTGTTTGCAGGGCTGGCCCCAGGAAAAGTGTACTCAGCTCACTTTCTCCAAATTTTCCGCAGACAGAAGACCCTAAAGTAGCAGTGAGTGGCAGGCCTTGAAATTAGCATCATTTGCCCCTCAATGCTTCCTCTTTTTTCCCCAAGACATGCCCTGGAACAAATATGGAGGACTTTGCATCTTGGCTTATGTTATCTCTGGCTTGCCTTTTCCTTGGGTGTTTTTATCTTGGCATACAGGTAATGCAGATTTTCTGAAGTAATAAAATAGAGTGGCATCCACATAGTGGCCAGTTAAGAGCAGAGGGCTTTAGACCCATGTCAGGGTTTCACTTCTGACTGGTGACTCCTTAACTGTCACCATATTGTGCCAAACATACCACCTTCTGAGTCTCAAATTCCTTTCTTGTAAGATCAAAATCTTTGGCAGTAACACTCTACATGGTGTGCTAAACACAGCCTGTACAGACTGATGAGCCCTTTTCCTTAGTTTCCTTATCCATCAGAGGAAAACCTGGATGGGTAATTGCTACAGGCCCTTTCTTTCTTTTTTTTTTTTTTCTCATTGAGTTCATTGGTACATTCTAGGTATACAGTACAGTTACATTCATCACTAGGATCTTGTACCGCTACATCACAGGTTTTGGTTCTCATTTTTCCCCTTGTCCCTGCCCTCCCTTCACCCCCTCCTCCCCTCCCCATTTACAAAGACTTTATTTCAATTTTTTCATTTTCTCATGTTTTTTTTTTCTTTATGCAGCAGGTCCTTTCAGTCTCTGAAATATTGGCATTCTTGCCTGTAGCTTGCGATTTGCTTTCCCATTCCAGGCACGTTCTCTACATACATCTATATATGTGACCCGGAGCAGGCAGGGCACCTGTTAGAATTCTGGCTTGAGTGAGAGGACCTCAGAAAGTTAAGGGGATACCCTCCCCCAAGTCATGGGACCTGGGTTCCTGACTTCAGCCTCTGTCTCCCCGGGCTGCAGACTGCCCTCCTGCTCCAGGCACCTGCTCCTTGCCTCTAGCCCTGCACTAACTCCTTCCTCTCCTTCTGCCTTGGACTGTTCAGATTTCCGCTATCACATCAGTGTGAAGACCGGGGATGTTTCTGGGGCCAGCACGGATTCTCGGGTCTACATTAAGCTCTATGGGGATAAATCTGACACCATCAAGCAAATTCTTCTCGTCTCTGACAACAACCTCAAGGACTATTTTGAACGTGGCCGGGTGGATGAGTTCACCCTTGAGACCTTGAACATTGGAACTGTGAGTGTCCTTCCCATAGTCATCTGAAATGATCTTATGCATTCATCTACATGCATCCACATATGTGTCCACATACATATCGACATGCACACATTCAAGTAGTCATGGGTGAGCCCCTTTTGAAGGGAAAAAATGCCTACTTGGGGGCCATTAGTGGAGATAACATGAACAGTGCTAAGCTCCCAGAACCACTTTGAGGATGGGACGTATATAAGGCAGGCCACCGAACCACTGAGCTAAATCCCTGGCCCTGGGATGTATATTTTTTAATAGCTTTATCCCCAAATTTGTACTTACATGACCAGTGTACCTGGGTCATAGACACTGAAGAAAGGGGTAACAGGTACAAGAAAGACTAAAAAGTGGGACTAGAAATACTCCCCTACTCCATACCTGAGTGTGTATCAGAATTATGTTCTGTACACATACGGGGCATCCTCCAACAATGCTGCTTTAGGGTATGGGACCCAGGTGTCTGTGTCTTCCAAAGCCCCAGGTGGCCCTGCTGTAAATGGTCCGCGCACTTCTTCACAGATAAAGCTGGCTATCAGAGTGGTGAGACCGACTTTGATCAATAGTATATTTCTGTGACAGGGAAAAGAGGCCCCCACAAACTGAACTCAACTTTGACTTACACAGATTTCCATGTATGTCAAAGGGAGAATAAGGGGCAGGATCAGGGTAAAATAGGGCCTCAGTAGATCCAGGAAAGTAGGAAAGTCACAGGAAATGGTAAGGGGTAGTCAGGGCCCTGGGAAACCTATCTGGTTTGCTAACTTGTACTTCTCAGTTAGGTTCCTTCTCTTCCAGAGCCTGGAGACAGGGGCCATGCTCTGGTGTTGGCTGGAACCAATACTGTATTATTTTGACACCCTGGAATTTTCTCATACAGGCACTGAGAGGAGGTTAGGATCATCTTAGGGGTGTGGCCTTGAGCTGTTAGAATTATGCTGGTTCTTTGTTTAAGTCTTTATGACCAAGGCTGAAGCTTAGTCAAGCAAGCTGTCCAGAGCCTGGCTAGGGCTTGGTCAAGGTGAGACTCTTGACTTCAACGGGGAAGCATAGGTATAAACCCAGGACTTGAGCTCTGAGACATCTTCAGAAATGTCTGTTCTGGGATGAGGGTGTTCCATGGTGGGAACTGAGGAGGTCGGAATCCCCTGTCTACAACCTCGCCTCCCCTCTCTGGAGCCCCATTCTATTTCAGGTGCTTTGTGCCCTGGAATTCTCTCCTCCCACCAAAACGGGCAACAGTCTTGTGTTAGTCACTTATCCCTTGGGGCTAATGAACTTCAATCCAGATTTTCCTTGATGAAATGTGTTTACATTTTAAGCTGAATCAATAATTGCAGAGTAAAAATGCTGTTCCCTTTGCTGAAGAATTGAAGACATCTGAGGGGAGGCTTTGGCAGTGGGAGAGAGGATAGGTTGGACTTGTACTGCGAAAATCCCCTCAACCGGCAGCATGGGAAACAGATCACACTGGGAACACTGACTGACAACTGCCTGCTCTGGGGTACAACACTGCCATTTACTTGTCAGACACATTATTTACTCTTATTTGTGTCAGACAATAGGGGATCCTAGTGGGATTAATAACATTGATTATGTTAATAAAACTTGCAAGCATGTAGTAAGTGCTCAGTCTACACTACTGAACAGTTCTTCTAATTTAGGTGGCATGTGTCGTGGAGCCAAATGACAGTCCCTGCCTTAGGGAACTTCCAGTCATATCAGACGGAGATGCTTGCCCTGTCTTTACTGTTTCAGCCTATCTCTCTTTGAGACTTTCATAGTCTCAGCACCACAGAAAAACGAGGAAACTCTCTTATGTCTCTTGGCATGCATGCAAAGGGCTCTTAGTTTCCATCCAAAGCTTTTGGGGGATAGCGCTCTATGCACTTGTCTGTGATGATCCCTCGGCTGGCTGATGATCGGGCCTGGAACTCAGCCTTTCCTGTGAGTCTTCCTCTTCTGAAGAACTGGAAGCCCTAGTTTCAGGGAGCTATTTGCTCCAGTGCTTAGAGAGGTGGGGGATGAGGTTTGGAAGTTTCTGAGCACTGCTTCTTGGGCACTTTCATTGGAATTCCCTTCCAGATCAACCGGCTGGTGATCGGGCATGACAGCACGGGCCTGCATGCAAGCTGGTTCCTGGGCAGTGTCCAGATTCGAGTGCCCCGCCAGGGCAAACAGTACACCTTCCCCGCAAACCGCTGGCTGGACAAGAACCAGGCTGATGGGCGCCTGGAGGTGGAGCTGTACCCCAGCAAAGTCGTGGAGATCCAGAAATGTATGGAGGAGGCTGGGTAGAAAAGTGTACAAATGGAGCTGGGGGTGATGGAGTAGGGGTGGGGACTACGGGGCAAATGGGCCTTTCTCCAAGTGGTCTGGGGAGGGGGGCCTGTGGGCCTTCAAGTGCTTCTTGTACCATAGTTCTAGGAGGCAATTAGAGCTCATTTTACAGATGGGAAGACTGTCTGGAACTTTTTTTCTGGAATAAAGGCAGAAAATGATATTATTAGGAAATGCATAATTTGAACCTGTGGAGAAGATTTTGAGGTATAGTCCCTGTCTTGGGATGGAAAGACTGTGGAAAGATATAAATGGGCCTTTCTCCAAGTGGTCTGGGGAGGGGGGCCTGTGGGCCTTCAAGTGCTTCTTGTACCATAGTTCTAGGAGGCAATTAGAGCTCATTTTACAGATGGGAAGACTGTCTGGAACTTTTTTTCTGGAATAAAGGCAGAAAATGATATTATTAGGAAATGCATAATTTGAACCTGTGGAGAAGATTTTGAGGTATAGTCCCTGTCTTGGGATGGAAAGACTGGCTGGAAAGATAAAACTTTTCATTCATTTATTCAATAAACATCTATGTTGATGTCCCTGTGCCCTGTGCTCTGGGCTATGTGAGCAAGAGAGACAAAACCCTTCTGTGGTTGCAGCGAGAAGTCTGATGCCAGTCTGCTATCTGACTCTGATTTTTCACCTCTCTAAGTCCACTCTAATCTCATCTTTATTTCAGACACTCTGAAATTGTCAGTGTCTTTTGTGATTTTACTTCTATCCATTGTTCTGGAAACTCACAGAATCCTCAGTCTTGAAATATTTTTGCTTTTTTAGTTTTCATGCTGTGTGTCCAACAATTTCCAACTCTATTTCTTCTGTTGTTTGTAGTACTGAACTCTTGTTTGGATATTAAATTTTCTCTGACTTTTTACTTTTCTTCTGTCATTTGTCTTTTTTGTCCTTGAGGAATTTCCTTTCTGCTTTTAGAAAATGTCCTTGACTTTATCCTTGCTGTTGAAAATTTTATTTCAGGCTGCCATATTTTGATTCCCAGCAACTTAGTATCATTTGCTAAATGCTCATGAATCTCCTTCCTCATTTTGTATGATGGTGATAGTCTGTGGTGTTAAGAACTGAGGGAGGAAACCAAGTCAGAGCTCCTCACAGTGAGGATTGTCCACTCACTCTCCCAGCTGCTTTTAGCGGAATCTAGTATCTCTAGTTCAGCCTCTTCAGGCTCTCAGCCAGTCCTCTTCAGCTCCCAAGTCTTCCATTGCCATGGTAAGAAAGATAATCTTATTGAAAATAACACTCTTTACTTGACAAGAAATCATGATGTTGTCAAATAACATTATTGAGAGGGCCAGTCCTATCACAGTCATATTGACAGGCAAGTGTCTCCTGGGAGACACATTGCAGTCCATTAGGATATGCCCTCTACTGGTGTGTGTCTATAACTCACTTCTACCCTCCAACACCTTGATAAGTAGTATTAGTTCAAACAGGCGAGAGGATGAGAAAGAGGGAGCCAAACTCACCCTTTTATAATTGCACCAATCCCACTCTCATGACCTAATCAAATCTTAAACGCTCCAGCTTCTACAACAGCAGTTAAATTTCAAAATGAGTTTTGGAGGGGACAAATATTTAAACCACAGCAGATAGATAGAAAACAGGGAATGTCAGGTGTTATACTGAGTCCTCCTTATTCCTAGCTAAGGACACGTGGATGGCCAGATTGATGGTGCAGGTTTGCCATATCCATTACCTGAACAGTTCCTCTAAGTTTCCCTTGTCTATCTGTAAGGTGTTGGGGAGAAGATTATATAAAAGGATGATCAAGAAGCACCAGGCATGTGGAAGAGGCTCTGACAATGTTTGTTTCATTACTGTCATTGTTGTTACTATTACTAAATGTTCTATTTCTCCCACATGTGCCCACCCAGTGGTCCACTATGAGGTTGAGATTTGGACAGGGGATGTGGGTGGTGCAGGCACCACTGCCAGAGTCTACGTGCAGATCTATGGTGAGGAAGGCAAGACTGAAGTGCTCTTCCTCTCCAGCCGCTCAAAAGTGTTTGATCGGGCATCCAAGGATGTGTTCCAGGTGTGTGGGCGTAAGACAGCAGGGTGGCAGCAGAGGGCCCAGAGGACACCGAGATAGTTCCCTGGGTGTTATTTACTCACCATGGGAGAATGGACTGCCCCTCGAGCCAAATGAGGACTAGCTGGACAAGGATTCTCTTGGCTTCCCAAGGGTTCCTGGGCACAGCTAGCCTGGATGTAGAGCTTTTAACTGGGATTGAACACCAGGTTTTATTGGCCAATTTCTACCTTGTAAACTTGGAGAGTAATACCCTCTCACTGTACCTGAGTTTTGGCTTGAAATGAGGGGATTGGGCTACATCGGGGATTCTCAATCTTGACCTCATGTTCAAGCCATCTGCAAACTTTAAGAAAAGGTACAGCTTAGCTCACACCTAGACCAGTTAAATCAGAGTCTCTGGAGGTGGGACACACTTTCTGGCATATCTTTCATTTAAAGTTTACCAATGATACTAACATGTTGCCAATTCTGAGATTTCTGGAGTAGGTGATTTTCATTTAACCCATGATTTCATAAGAGCTGAGGTCCCTTCACCTGCTCCCCAGTTTGTGACTCCAAAGCCAGGGTCATACTTTACAGGCAGAACCTGGGAGATGGTGGAGTTTCATGCTGTGTTCTGAGTATCCCAGGCCTCTTCCTTTACTCTTGTAAAACTCTTTATCAAAGGAAAAAAGATGTGCATGTGAGTGTGTTGTTGGCATTATAGACAATGTAAAGGGAGTGGCCTTTGAATAACACTTGAATATTTTATGTTGGACCTATAGCACGTGTGTGTGTAAGCACATGTGTGTGTGACTGCAGAAATGTGTGTGCAAGGAGCATGTTCATGCTGGGTGCTCTATGTTTAGAAGGCACATTGGCCTTCAGCAAACAGTCCTCATCCCATTGCCAGAAGAGATGGTCTTGGTTTACCTGGGACCAGGCCAGGCTCACAGGTGTCTGAATGTGGAGGTGCCTCATTGAGTCCCTCATACACTGCTGAGAAGGCTAAGGCCTGTGTATTTGACTTTCTGAGCTTCAGTTAAAAACCTAACTTTGTAATACGTGCACAGCTGGCTTCACCATCCCTATAATGATCAAAAGAGCCAATGTCAGGGAATGTTATGGAGATGTGACCCAGCAGTGCACCTTTCACAGGTCAGCTCACTGGGTGTGGTGGATGCAGGCTCAGCTAGGCAAACAGATGCAAAGATGCTGCATGACAAGTAAGCCTCTTTGAGGAAGGTTGTCATGACCCAGGAGTACCATGACCCAGGAAACATGAAGAGGGGAGCTAATGTGCTGAAGAATTGACTTACCAAGCCCAGTGCCCATACCTGAAGTAGCTGAAGATACATTCTTCTTTTTCTGGGCTCAGGGCTCTATCTTGACTGGGAATTGTCTCACAAAAGTGGTTGATCACACTGTGGATTCATTGGGGTCAGGAGACCTGTATTCTCATCTAGGTCTGGATCTGAATTATGGGACACTGAGCAACTATGGAACAGTCTTAGGCTCCAGTTTCCCTGGAACTCAGTGGGGATAACTGGTGAGACCAGGTTTTAAGAAGGGTTAAATACATGAACAGCAGCTCATCAGCATCAGGGAGCTTAAGAGGAGTTCCACTAGCAAGGACCTCATGAGAGCCTGACCCCGGAGGTTTGCAAGGACCAGATCTCATCTGAGTGCAGGTACTTCCTGACACTGTGGCATTCAGGACAGCCCAACAATGCAATCTGAGGCTGACGACCCATCCACACTGCCCTCTGGCCAGTAGAGAGAGACACACACAAAATGGGGTTTGTCTTAAGAAACTCACAGCTCAGGAGGACAAAGAGGACATCCAGGCTAGACCAGGACCAGAGGCAAATTCTGGGACCCTACTGAACAGTTAGGGAGGAGACAAGCAGACAAACAGGCTAAGTGCTTTGGAAGGGCCTGGGGCTTCTAAGGTCATAGGTAAGATTTTTTTTTTTAAGAGCACTTTTTTTTTGGCTTGTTACAAAGGTCACATATGTTTAACACTGAAAAAATTTGGAGAACACAGAAAAGTACAAAGTTTTAAAATAAAAGTTAATAATAAAGTAGAGGACTGAATGAATAGCTTTGTTGAGAGGTAAGGTGGGAAAAAAGACATGGAACTAGGAATCCTAGGAATGAGTGCTCTGTGTAGGAGGGCCTGTGTGTGTCTGTGTGTGTGTGTGTGTGTGTGTGTGTGTGTGTGTCTGTGTGTCTGTGTGTCTGTTTGCACGCACGCACACCTGCATGCACATAGGCTCATGCACACATGATCAAAAGGAAGACCAAAATAGGGAGACCAGCGTGACCACCACAGCAGTTAGAAGGAAATAAGTTTGGGGTCCAGGCCAGGCTGAGGAGCAAGGCTGAGTGTGGTTGGAGAGAGGGGGGTTGTTTCTAAGGGCAAAGGCTTCAGTCTGTCTGGGCTGCAGCCAAGCACCAGGCCCTGGGCCTGGCTCTGCTAGGGAGGCAGGGAGGACACCAGGGGCAATCTCAACCACTTCCCTGCTTTGCTCAGCTGGAGGCAGCGGATGTAGGTGAAATCTACAAGATCCGTCTGGGGCACACAGGTGAGGGCTTTGGGCCCAGCTGGTTTGTGGACATGGTGTGGCTGCGGCACTTGGTGTGGCGGGAAGAGGACCTGACACCAGAGGAAGAGGCTCGGAGGAAGAAGGAAAAGGACAAGCTTCGGCAGCTGCTTAAGAAGGAGCGGCTGAAGGCCAAGCTGCAAAGGAAGAAGAAGAAGAAGAAGAAGGGCAGCGATGAGGAGGATGCCAGTGAGGAAGAAGAGTCCTCTTCAGAGGAGTCCTCGTCTGAAGAGGAGGAAGAGGAAGAGACTGAGGAGGAGCAGGAAGAGGAGGAGTCTGGGCCAGGGATGCAGGAGGTGATTGAGCAATACAAGTTTGAAGTCCATCGCTGGCTGGCCAGAGGCAAGGAGGACAGTGAGCTTGTCGTGGAGCTGGTGCCAGCAGGCCGGCCTGGTCCTGAGTGTAAGCCTTAGGGGCCACATGTCCGCTAAAGGACCAGGGAGGGGGTTAGGGTAACTCCATTTCCTTCACATGAAGGCTACGTAGGTGGGCACCATGGTGCTTCCCAAATAGCTCTCCTGATTGGCATCTGAAAAGCCACCACGGACAGTCCTGTTTGGGGTTAAGCATTGCCCTCATCCCAGGGATCTCAGGAGGAATCAGAGACAATGAGAGGAGCTCTGATACACTGGATATAACAAAATGGAGTTGGGGGGGCATAAGGTTGGAGGGTTGCTGAGGCCAAATGTTGCTGTTGGTCTCATGGTCAAGGGAAGTCTTGGGTTGACAAGTTCAGGCCAGTTTAGTGGTGTAGATATATGGTAGATCCTTCCTACTCTGAGGATCTGCATGAATCTGTGAGGCTGGGCTTCAGCCCAACTCATAGTCCTGTGTTCTCAATTCTGCATCTTTCTTTGCCTCTAGCCAATACATATGAGGTCCAGGTGATCACAGGGAACGTGCCCAAGGCTGGCACTGATGCCAACGTCTATCTAACGATCTACGGTGAGGAGTATGGAGACACAGGAGAGCGGCCCCTGAAGAAGTCGGACAAGTCCAACAAGTTTGAGCAGGGGCAGGTAGAGTGAGGGCTCTCTGGACTCTGGGTCTGGAGGGTGGATTCAGATATGGAGCATGGTGCCCCCTGATGACAGCTCCACCTAGTATGGTGTCTGCTGTCTTTCTAGAAGGGTGTTTCCTTCAGTCCAACTAGGTTTGATGGCAGTGCCTCTTCTGTAAGTACTAATGCTTTGGGGCAGGGCAAGAAAAGCATTGACAGGGTTCCAGTGCTTGGAGCCCATAGGCTAGCTGATCCTTGCGAACAACTAGAGAGTAGTATCCAGCATCAGGTTCTCAGGTGCTGAGCAGGCTCACTGTTTAACATGGTGCCATGGGGAAGACTAGATGGGCAATGCATGATGACAGTAAAGGATATTTGCAGAAGATGGGACTGCAGAAGCAAAGATATGGAGGTGAAAATGTGGAGGACCATTTTCAGGACAACCCTGAGCAGTGGCTGGTGCCTCACAGTGGATAAATTTGGATAAGACCAATATTGCATGGATGTGGTACAAGCTGAGAAGCCTGAACTACATCCTGAGGCAATATGAAATAAACACATGTACCTCACTCCACAGGCATAGGGAAGAGCATGAGAAATAAAGCTGCCACCTTTCTCCTTTAAGATTTTGCATATACTGAAGCCAGGTTCTCTTTTCAGCCTAGGGGAGGAAAAGCAATAAACCAAATCCATTAAAATACTTTAGGGAGATTACTTGTTTTGTTCTCCCCACTCAAATTTTCTTTCAGCACTCTTTGTCATGACTTGAGGATCTGGGTTTATGTTTGCATTTCGTTTCTCTCCATGAAAAACAAGAGCCACTTTATTCCTGGGTTGGGACAATATTGTTGTAAAGGGCAAAACTGCTACACTTGGTGAAATTTAAATATGGACTGTATATAGGTAATAGTAGTCACATGCTGCATAACAACAATTCAGACAACAAATGGCATATATTGTAGTAATCCCATAAGATTATGCCATCTAGTGACATTGTAGCCATCTTGGTTTGTAACTAGACTGTATGATGTTTGTATAATGACAGACATCACCTAGCAACATATTTCTCAGAACATATCTCTGTCATTATGTGATAAATGCCTGTGTTGTGTTGACGTTGACTGTGCTGTGTTGGAGTTCAGGATGTTAACTTTCCTGACTTTGATCATTGCTTTGTGAGTAGATGAGTGTCCTTGTTCTTTGCAATTCAGTGCTGAAATATTTAGGGGTGAAACATCATGGTAACTGCACTAATTTTCAGTTGATTTGGAAAAAATGAAGGGAGAGGGGAGGGGAGTAGAAAAGTGAGGAGAGGGAGGAGAGAAAAGAAAGCAGCATAGCAAATATTGAGCATAAGTGCAAAAATGTATGAAGGTATGGAAACTTTGTATTATTTGTACACACTATTTCTGCAAGTTTCCTGAAGATCTGAATTTTTTTCTAAGTAAAAAGTCAAAAAATGTATAGCCAAGAAAACTCCATTAATTTCTGGGGTCCCAGTGTAGTCCGCTTCCTCCAGTGCAAATGGCAGCTCACATGCATGTGTGTGGTTCACACCCACCTTCCTACCTACATGGGCAGCAAGTCCAAGTCTTCTGTTTTTATCAATCACTTTGAATTTGCACAGGACTGCCTCATAGTAAGTGCTTAATAAAACCTTGTGGTAGAAGGAGTTGATGTACAAGTCCACATACAAGCCCAAGGTCTCAGTGCACCCTATACCCAACATACACACACACACACACACACGCACACACACAAAACACAATGGCAGACCATCTTCTGCCTCTCTCTCCCTCTACCTTCCTCAAACCAGTGAGGGTGAGAAGATCCCTTGGCAGGGATAGGTTGAAAAAAACAATAGCACAGAACAAACATCAGACCAATGAACTACATTGTCCATATTCCCTTCCACTCCTGGTTCTTTTGGTTCTTATTGTCCACCTCCGGGTGCTCAAGCCCTTGGAAGATGAAGCTGATGGCAGGGGAAGGAAGGGTTGGTCTTCGCGCTCTGAGTGCTGCTCTCCTCCTTCCTAGACAGACACCTTCACCATCTACGCCATTAACCTGGGGGCTCTGACCAAGATACGGATTCGCCATGACAACACAGGCAACAGACCAGGCTGGTTCCTGGACAGAATAGACATCACTGATGTGAACAATGAGACCACGTGAGTGAGGCTGGGTGGGGAAAGAAGGTGCTTGCTTACCTGCCACTAAGATTTTCCTAGAGAGAGAACCGAGTGTGGGTGAAGCAAGGCCCGAAGGCAAAGGGTAGGTTGGCTGTGACAGGATGGGTTTGGTTCATGTGGTAGGCTGAGTGGGTTTCTGTTTTGTTTTGTAGTGTTTGTTTGTTTGCTTGTTTTTGGTACCAGAGATCAAATTCAGGACCTTGCACTTGCCAGGCAGGGGTGGTGCTGCTGAGCAACATCCCTGGCCCCATGTAGTTTTCAATGTAGAAGTCTTTTACTTTCTTCATTAGATTAATTCTTAGGTATTTCATTTGGTGAGGATGCTATTGTGAAGGGTGCCGTTTCCCTAATTTCCTCTCAGTGAGTTTGTTATTTGGGTACAGAAAAGCTATTGATTTTTTTTGTTGACTTTGTATCTAGCTTCACTACTAAATTTGGTTATTAAATCTAGAAGTCTTTTAGTTTGAGCAACATCCCTGGCCCCATGTAGTTTTCAATGTAGAAGTCTTTTACTTTCTTCATTAGATTGATTCTTAGGTATATCATTTGGTGAGGATGCTATTGTGAAAGGTGCGGTTTCCCTAATTTCCTCTCAGTGAGTTTGTTATTTGGGTACAGAAAAGCTATTGATTTTTTTGTTGACTTTGTATCTAGCTGCACTACTAAATTTGGTTATTAAATCTAGAAGTCTTTTAGCGAAATGTTTGGTGTCTTCTCTGTAGAGTGTCATGTCATCACAAATAATTATCTTCTGGATATCTATGGGAGCGGTTGTGATTTCACCTTTTTTCATTCCTAATTCTATGGATTTGAATCTTTTCTTTTTTTTTTGTCATGTCATCACAAATAATTATCTTCTGGATATCTATGGGAGCGGTTGTGATTTCACCTTTCTTCATTCCTAATTCTATGGATTTGAATCTTTTCTTTTTTTTTAAATAAAATTGGCTAAAGTTTTGTCAATTTCATTTAATCTTTCAAAGAACCATTCCCTAGTGGTATAGTGGTTAGGATTCAGTGCTCTCAGAAAGAATCAACTCTTTGATTCATTGATTCTTTGTAATTTTTTTCAGTCTCCAAATTAATTTCTGCTCTGATTTTTACAATTTTCTCCCTCATATGAGCCTTGGGGTTGACTTGGTCTTCTTTTTCTAGAAGTTTGAGGTTCAACGTTAGGTTGTTTATTTGAGCCCACTCTATTTTCTAGATATGGGTTTCATCCCTACAAATTTCCCTGGTAGGATGGCTTTTGTTATGTCCCATAAATTCTAGCTTGTTGTTTTCTACAATTCATTTAATTGTAGAAACTATCTGATTTCTTCTTTAATTTAATCTTTAGCCTATTGTTTATTCAGGAGGGTGTTATTTAATTTCCGTGTGTTTATGAAATTATTATGGTATCTTTTGCCATTGATATCCGATATCATTTCACTGTAGTCTGATAATATTCATGGGATAATTTCAATTCCTTTGCATTTACTTAAAGCATGTTCTATGAGCTGCATGTGGTCTATTTTGGAGAATGTCCCATGTACAGCTGAGAAAAATGTTGTGGGGTGGAACACTCTGTAGACATCTACTAAGTCCATTTGTTCAAAAGTTTGGTTCAGTTCTAATATTTCATTGTTGATTTTTTTGTCTAGTTGATCTGTCTATTTGTAACTGCAATATTGAGGTCCCCCATTAAAACTGTATTAATGCTCATTTGATTTTTCATATCCATTAGTATTTGTTTTATATAGTTGGGGCGCTGCTATTTGGTGTGTGTATCCTTTACAAGGAAGCAGTGACCTTCTTTGTCTCTCTTCATCAGTCTGGGCTTGAAATACAGTTTGTCTGTAAATAGAATAACTGAGCTTTTTTCCAAGTACCCATCACATGAGATATTGTTTTTTATCCTTTAACGTTCAGTCTATGAATTTCTTTTTTAATTAAATGTTTTTCTTGTATGCAGCATATTGTTGGATCTCGCTTCCTGATTCATTCTGCTGGTCTGTTTCTTTCTTTCTTTCTTTGCTTTTTGCTTTTTTTTTTTTTGGACCTCGGCTCCTTGTGCTTTCGAGGCAGGTGGCAGAACCACTGAGCTAAATCCCAGGCCCTTGCTCTGTTTCTTTTGATTGTTGAATTGAGACCATTAACATTGATGGTTATAACTGATATATATTGATTTATCCCTGTCATGTTATTTTCCTGTTGTTGGCTGCCTTCTTTCCTCTTCTGTTTAATTTCTTGCCTTGCCTGGTGGATTCATTCTGTTCGGGTTCATGGAATTGTAATCCTTGTTATTTCTTTCTAGAATATCCTTCAGAACACTTTGGAGGCTGGTTTGGTGGTCATGAATTTCTTCAGGTATTCTTTTTCATGGAAGTATCTTATTTCTCCATAAATTTGATACTTTTGTGGGGTACCTCAGTTTGGGTTGGAGGTTGTTTTCCTTTAGGGCATGAAATATTTCATTCCTCGCTCCCCTTGACTTGAGGGTTTGTAAGTCTTCTGTGATTCCGATGGGATTTCCTTTATAAGTGATTAACTTCTTTTCTCTAACAGCTCCATCATTTTCCTGAGCTCCTCTATTTTTTATCTGTGTCTGCTCTAGAGTCACTAAGCACGTCTTTCATTCTGGTAGCCATCTCTGTAATTATCTGAGAAATTATTTCTGCTTTGATTTTTTTCTAGAGCTTCATTAATTTGCTTTGTTACTTCCTCTGTTATCATTTCAGAGAATCCAGGTGGGTGGCTTCTGGATTGTTTCACTTCATTGCCCCCTGGGTTTGCCTTTGGTGAGCTGAAAGTTGGGGGGATACATCTTATAAAAGTTGGGGGGTACATCTTTGTAAATTGCTTATGGTGAGTAGCTATATTGCCAGTATTCAAAACCCTTAGGAAATGACTACTTCTCAGAGGTATCTTCCAGGTGCAGCTGACTTTTAGGTTTTGAGTTTGCTGCAAGATCCAATCTCTTCAATTTATTGGGGGTAAGAAGTTTCTTCCTACTTTGCTTAGCTACTGGGGTTTTTGGCACTGAGTTATAGTTTTTTTTTTCTAAGACCCTGAGGCAATCACAGTCTTGGCATACCAAGAAGAACAACTGATTAGAACAATTATGTCACCTTAGCTAATGTAGTACAACCAGCAATAACAATAGCTTCAAACACAGCCTAGAAAATGACAAATTGTGGTAACTATTAATTTGCCTTTAACCATATGCACTATATTTGTGGTTATGTAAGAAAATCCAAAATGAACCAGAAAATTGTATGCAATAAGTAAACCCTTAACACCATGATTTTACTCTTAGGGGAGAAGATTTAAAAGGGGTCAGGCAGGAAAAAAAGAAATAGAAGAAGAGGAAGAAATTAGAAGAAGGCTGAGGGTCAGAGGAAGATCGTACAAATTTTGTAAAACTGGTGAAGAAGATAGGAAAGAGAAAGAAAGAAATAAAAAACAAGAACAGAGAGCAGGGGGTGTAGCTCAGTTGTGCCATGCCTGCTTGGCAAGCACAAGGTCCTGAGTCTGATTCCTTGTACAAAAACAAACAAACAGCAACAACAACAAAAACAAGAACAGAACAGAACAACAACAAAAAACTAGAAACCATGTTCAAACAATCAAGAAAACAAAACAAAACAAGAACAAAAATCAGAAAATAGGAAAAAATAAAGAAAAAAGCAAAGGAAAAAGAAAAAAGAAGTCCAATTCAAGGTGCGTCTCTGCTGTCATTGGTAGACAACATGGGCAGATAGAGTCTGGAGCCAAACTGATTAACCCCAGCATATCAGCTGTAGCTTTACAGTGGGTAGTGGATAATCTCAGCCAGCCTATACCTTTAGTTCCACTGAAGTTCTGGCTGGTTTCTGGCTCTGAGGCTTGAACTAGATTTGTTGATGCTGCAACAGTTCCTGTGCCTCCTGCTTGCTTGAACTCTGCTCTCTGACCTCCTGCTGACATGAACTTGGCACACTCACCAAAATACCAGGAGTCATTAGATGGAGTCAGCCTATAAACCATTCTGAGTTCTGAGCTCAGTTGGCCCCTCTCCAAGATGGCTACCAACCAATCAGTTTCTCCTGGGTGACATTTGAACCCCAATACCTCATCAGCCATTTCAGTCTGCTGTATCCACTGCTCCATTACACTGGTACATTTCTCCATGGAGGCCTCTGGGATCACCAGTGGTCACCATGCGTCTGGCATTCCCATGCAGTGAGTCCGGGCTCTGGGAGAAAGTGCCACTTGCTATCTCTCTCCTCTTCACTGAAGTCTCTCTCTTTGCTCTCCCCATGGACTTCAGTTCTCACTTTAGATCCTTTCTAAAGTTCTCACTTTAGATCCGCAGGACCCACTTTTTTTCTTCTTCCCTTCCTCATGCCACTATATTCTAGGGTCAGAACACCAGATCTTGGAAAGTCTCTTCTTCTACTGCTCAACACTCCAGCGTCTTCCTGGAAGTCTCAAAATTTTAATGGCTGCCTGCAGATTCAGGTATGGAAGAATGCAAAAAAGCTATTTGCACGCTGGCGATCTGGACAATCCAGTCAAAGGTAAAAGACCTGGAGTTCCCTGAAAACTTCTATTGGAAGCCAAAGGAGTGATGTTGGAAGGCTGAAAAATCTAAGCTAAGAGGCTGAAGAGTCTATGTTGAAAGACTAAAGGATATGTGCTAGAAGTCTAGGTCAGATGTCCCAAGGCAATGGCAAAGCCTGGAGCTGCTCCAAAGAAACTGAAGTCAAGTATTTCCAGCTTTGCTGACCATTTGGTCTTGACAGCAATCTTTCTGCTAACTGAGAACAAAAGCAGCACAGATGATATCTAAGTGGGTGGGTGCGGCTGTGTCTCAATAGAACTTGATGCTGAAATTTGAATTTCTTATAATTTTCACATTGTAAAATATTAGCCTTTTTTAGCCTTTTCCCCTCTAACCATAAAGTTGAAACCCATGCTCAGATTGGGGGATGTACATGAGTAAATAGTGGACCAAACTTGGCCCTGCTAGAGACATAGCCACCACCTGAGCTAGGAAACAGGTGTTAGGTCCTTCCTAGGTAAAGGAGTCCTGCCCCAGGGAGGTAAAGCCCCAACCTCAGAGCTAGTGGACCTGAACTGCAGACTATCAGTGTGGCTTTGCTGTGTTTCCTGCCATTAAGCTACACTGCCTCTTGGGTGAGGGGGATCCAGGTACAACGAGGTAAAAGAAGGCCCCTCCATATGTAATGGTGCTGGGGGACAGCAGAAGAAAGTATATAAGCTCCTGAGTGCATGTTGGGACTTCTGGGAGCCTGCCAGTACCTGAAATTTAGTGGATATTTAGTCAATAAATAAATATTTGTTAAGTAAAATCACTTCTTGCCCTGAAGGCTGCTGTCCCTTGGAGCACACAGGCTCCTTCCTTTCTGTGTAGGACAGGGATGGTGGGACTCACCCCACCTCCCACCTCATCTTGTCCCACCATCCCAAGGGGACACAATTCCAGCTCACAGATGACCCAGTATCATGACCATGATGTCATGGTAGTGGCATGTAAGAGCCACAGAATAACCCCATAGCTGGGAACTGGATCCTTAACCTAGGGTCTCTTCTCTGCCAGAAACTTCTAGGTCACCAGGGACAAGTAGCTTCATAATTATGACTGTCATTTCCTCTTCTGTTAATTGGGCTCAGTGATGCTGGCCCAGCTTACTTTTTCAAGATATTCTGGCTAGGTACCTGTAATCCTAGCACTCTGGAAGGGTGAGGAAGGAGGATTACAAATTCAAGCCCAGCCAAGCCAATTTAGCAACTTATTGAGATCCTATCTCAAAATTAAAAAATAGAAAGAACTGGGGATGTAGTTCAGTGAGAAGGCTCTAAGTTAAATCCCCAGTAACATACATACACATATGCACACATGCACATGCACAGGCACCCATACAGAGTTTTGAAAATCTAATGTGTTTAAACTTGGAAAAGATAAAGTGCTGCTAAACCATAGTCTTGAAACAAACTGTGAACATCCTGGCTTCCCCTAATGGTTCTGAAAGGGTTATTCTGTTCATTGATTTGACATTTCTGCTCCAGCTCAACAATTTAAAAATTATTATAGCTTTGTAATCTAGTTTAATATCTGTCAGTATTTGTCTTCTTTCATTATTCGTTAACAATTTTACCCTTTTCAAATCAAATCTGGCTGGAAGTTTGATTGCTCTACCACTAAATATGTGAGTGGAGAATGACATATTTAGAATATTAAGTGCCACCTCCATGTACATTTTCCCACTTATCCAACTGTTCTTTTATGACTCTCAGTAATGCTTTACATTTTCTGTGCACAGTTGCTACACTTTCTTGTTAAGTTTATGCCCAGATATAATTATTTTCACTCCTGTGAATGAAATCTTTCTTTGGGCCATGTCTTTTCCTCCTTCCTTCCTGCCTCTGCCTTCTACCCCTTCTCTCTCCACCTTTACTCTCTCCTACCTTCTACTCTCCCTTCTGCATCTCCTCCTCTTCTTTCCAATTCTTTCCTGTGTCACTAGTTTACACATCTCTAACAAGAAGGCCTCTCCAATGAAGGACTCATGATGAGTCAGCTTCAACAACCTTCACCCCAAGATTAAGTCGGAGCACAGCCCACTTTGGGAGATGGATATGAAATTACAGACATTCCAAAGAAACAGAATCACAGTAGTGAGTCTTTCTCTCAGGGAGACACCGCCTTTCCTGAAAGTACCCAAGGCCTCTCCAGGCTGTCCCAGCCTTTGTAGCTCAGGAAATTTAGCAACACTGCCCTGGACCAAGTCACCAGCCTGCATGTACCCTGCACATCCTTGATCCCTCCCTGCACCTCACAGTCCTCCCCCAACCTATCGCAGAGCAGGTTGGTTCTTGCCTCAGGAGAACATGAACTGAACCACATCTCCACCCTCCATCTTCCTTCCAAATCCTCCTGAATGCTCCCTCTGCTTCCCTCAGACTCTCCTGTTGTCTACAGCAGCACAATGACCAGGATCATGTCACATCTCTGGTCCAACTCCTGAAGAGGCTCCCAGTCACCCCCAGGAAGAGCCAGTGCCTTTCCAATGGCCTCTCTGACCTGGAATCATCCTCTCTTGTCTCTTCTTCCTGGTCCCTGCCCATTCACCTTCTTTATCTCCTGCTGTTCCTTGAACCCAACAGACATGGTCCCACTAGTAGGCCTTAGCATTTGCTGTCCCTTCTCCCTGGCACTCTTTTCTCCAGGGACTCACTTTTGTGCTTTTTCAGATGGATCTCTGCACATGTCACCTTCTCAGTGAGGCCTACCATGCTTCCCTCTACTTTTTATCACTTTTCATCTGACCTACAGTAAACTGGTGCACTGAGTCCTTACTCCCCTCCCTACAATAGAATGTATAAGCAGCGACTTCCTCTCTATCGTCACTGCTGTGTCCTCCTTGGGGCCTAGGAGAAAACCTGGCAGAGTAGATGCAGACCCAAAGTGTTTGAGTTCCAGATGCTTATTCTTGGCATTGCCAACATCATCAGCTCATTTATACTATATCGTCCTGCCTTTAGCTTATACACAAAGGTGAGAAATTGTATTATGAAACTATTTACATTTCACAACACCCAGCTTTGTAACCTCATTCAACTCTCACTTAAAAATGAGATTTTTTTTAAATGGTCTCCAGCTTTGGTTTTGACATCTGATTGAAAGCTTTTGCTTCTCAGGTCCCTGTTCTTTCATTATCTGCAACACAGTGGGACTCTAGTCCAAAACACCTGAACATATCTCTTTTTCTTTGTTCCTTAGCTCTCCTACCTGCTCCCTCCCTGGACCCAGAGAACTGTCTGAGGGGACTTACTCCTGTGGAAGGGTGGGACAGGAAAAGATCAGTGGGCCCAGACTCCTCCTGCCTCCAAGTGTGCTGGTTGGCCCTGGGGGAAGGAGACTAAACATCCAGCTCCCAGCCCTGGCCCAGCTGTGGCTCAGTCTAGGGAGCAAGTCCAGGATGAAATCTGCTGGCTTGGGCTGCAGCTGTGAGTGTGCTATGGGCCTTCAATGCCCTGCTGCGGATGTCTAGGAGATTACAAGGCTCAGGCCCCTCGGAAGCCAGGCTTGGCTTCTCTGTATACATTCATGCATGGAGCATGTGAGAGGCCATTCTGTCTTTCTGACTTTGTTCTCTCTCTCCCTGGGTAACCTGTGGGTTTCTTTCTTTGTGTATCCCTCTCCCTCTATCCTTGTTCTTACTGACTTCCTACTCTCATTGTCTCTGCCTTTGCTGTAATCCTTTCTCTCCTGTTAAGAGTTTGTGGTTTAGAACCATAGCCTATTATTTCTAAGTTATTGTATTGAGTTGAATAAAATGTTAACTTTCCCATTCATATATTTAAAGACTGAGAAGTGGAACAGTATGCATTTTAACATTTTATATAAAAACACTGCTTTAATTGCCATTTAACTTGTATCACCCCAGTTTGAGATCCTCCTGTCCTTCAAATCATTGTCTATCAGCATACAATTACCCCTTCCCTACCATCCAAGCTCAAGAACTGACTCTGCTCCTCTGAAATGGTGACATTTGGAGGTGCTGAGGCCCACAGGAGAACAATGGGGTCCAGGAAGAGGCAAGGCCCTCGGAATCCAAGCACCCCCACACTTGGACTAGTCCCTGAATAGACCTTATACATCAGTGCAAAGGGAGGAAAAGGGCACAAGCAGGGTGCAGTGGCCCCATCTTAGACATGGGCCTGCATTCTCAGGTGCTCTGAGCTGTTCTGGAGGCAAAGCTGAGAGGAAAGAAAAGAAAGAAAAATAATGACAATAGCATTAGCAAATTCTTACTGACAACCTGCCTTTGGGACACAAGTATGCCCCCAAACTAAGTAGGATGTATACAAAAACATGATTCATTGCATATCTAAAACCCAAAGATAACTGGTAGTCCTGTCATGTCACGGGCTAATTCTGGTAACCCTGGCATAAAGAGAGGGTAAAGGGATTTGTTCAAAGTCACACAACAATTAATTGAAGAGCAGAATTTAGACTAAGACAGCCCGACTGAAGGGCCAAATTCTTTGTTGTCCCCTCGATTGCATCTCTTGTCCTGGCCCCATCTTCCTTCTGTCCAGACCTTCCATCACACTGGCCATGCCTCTCCACGGAGATGTCAAACTGGACCTCCCTTCCCTAGATGGCCCAAATGTCCCCGGATCAGCTCCTTAGCCATGCTCTTTGTGCCTTTCAAAAGCACAATTGATTCTCTCCATCAAAATCCACTAACTCAGCACAAATGTCTGGGGCACCTGCTACATACAACTCTGCTAAAGTAGCTGTGGCTTATAGATTGGTTCCAGAAAGTGGGAATAATTACCATGACTTCCTCTCCTTCTAGATCCTCTCACCAAAATGACCCTGACTGAGGGTCTACTATTCTTTAGGAATGTACACAGCCACCTCCAATGAGGCATCTGGAAACAATGTCTCTATGTTTATTCTCTACCCCTGGCAAGCAACTGATTGAGTAATCCCTAGGCTGGTAAGAAAGGAGGATGATGCAGTGGAGTGCTGTTTGGGTTCTGTGAAGTGCCCCTCGTTTCTGTCCTGTGATGGCTCCTGCATTTCCAAAACTCTCCTTCTCTACCTCACAGGTATTACTTCCCATGCCAACGCTGGCTGGCAGTAGAAGAGGATGATGGCCAGCTGTCCAGGGAGCTGTTGCCAGTGGACGAGTCCTATATATTTCCCAGTGAGGATGAAGAGGGTGGGGGACATGGTGACAGTAACCCTCTTGACAAGCTGGCCCTGGAGCAAAAAGGTGTCTATAACTAAAGCATATTTTCTCCCCAGCAGTCCTCCCCTCCACTCTACGTCTCCATCTTCCTTTTTTCCCTCTGGACTCGGGTATCTCCTCTTATAGTCTCTCTCCTCCATGGCAAGAATGTGCAAGTCATTCTTCTACATGGCAGCATGTTCCCGTGTGTCTAGAATAAGGCTTAGGGAGCTACGGCAGCCAGTTCTGAACACCTTTTGTCTCTAGACTCCTGATTCAAGAGTCCTATGATGCTTATGCGCATTCTCTGCAAGTTGCACCCCTAAAGCTCCTATCCTAAGGAGTCAGAGCAGGGCTTCTGACTGTGAGCCTCTGACTCTCACAGTCACCCCACTTACTCTCTCACTGTTTTATCACCTCTACTGATGGACAGCTTCCTATGTGAGCCAGGGTCAAAGGACACCATATACACTCTCTGGAAGTTTCCAGATTAAAGAAACTGCAGAAAAATCTATGCTTCCAGTAAAGCAATCCATGCAAATGGCCAATGTGAACACAGAAATGTACGTATTACTGACCACAGAGATTCCAGTGTAGAAAGAGCAGAGGAAGAACAGAAGAGATAGATCCAGAGTGAGTGAACAGAGGAAACCCTTCCAGAAGATGTTCCCTCCCCGTTCCTCCCCTCATGGGATTCTGGAGCAATCTACAGCTCCCTTCTCCATCTCCTCCTGGCAGATAAATTGACCACGTTCTCAGTGACCATAAAGACTGGGGACAAGAAGAATGCAGGCACGGATGCCAATGTCTTCATCACACTCTTTGGAGCACAAGATGACACTGGTAAGAAAGTGATGCACGGCCAAGGTTCACCTACTTTCCTCCTAAGGGAACAGGCACGTTGAGGCGAAGTGTTTAAAGATATCTTGATCAAGCTTCCATCACCTGGAAGACTGCAGACACTTAGCCACACCAGAGAAAAGCAGCTTCTTTTGTTCTGAAAGTTCCTCTCACCTCTGTACCCACTTTCTCCTCCTGTCCTGATGAAAGAGCTAGCCCTTGCCCTAACTTCATCCCCATAACAACCTGGTAAAGGATGGCTTCTCAAATCACCAATGACATTCAGCGCATGGGCCCCCATGATCCTCCAGGAGGAGATGTTCAGGAACTCTTAGGATTGTTCTTGAGCCTCTGCATAGGAACTCAGAGAAGGTGGCATTTAGTGATGGGGTCACACCCACTGATGTCCCATCCAGGCATTCTATCTGAGTGTAAAGGAGTCAGTCCTTCAAGTAGGCAGCACACATTAGCTCAAAACCCTGCAGGTCCAGAGCCCTGCACAACTGAAGAATGAATGGACCTAACGATCCCTGGCCTGGAGTGGTTACATTCTAATACTATGGTGTGCTAGTAGAGAGTACAGCTCCAGAGCTTGACTGGTTCACATTTCCACTCCACCATTTCTTGTGTGACCTTGGGCAACTTGCTTAACCTTTCTGTGCTTTAGTTTTCCTCATTTGTAAAGTAGATATAAAACTCTTATGTGCCTCACAGATTTAGAGCTTTAACTAAATTGAACATGTAAAATATAATATTTGGTCAAAGAGCACTCAATAAACATTAATCATTATTTATAGTTTATATAAAGTAAAGGCTATATAATGAAATAATTAGGCTATAACACCTAAATAGAACTGTATTATGATGGTTCCTGAACCATAGTCAGATGAGATCAGGTGTATTCACGGTAATATGGCCATGGATCCTGAACATAGTCTGTGTTTGTCTCCGGCTTTCTATGTGTTGGACACATTCTCAAGCACTCAACAATCAACTTTGTAAGTTTTCTCAACAGCTCTACAAGGAAGGCACCAAAACTGCCTCTTCTTGACATTTGAGGAAGCTGATCTCAAAGATATTAAGTAAGTGGCCCAAGTCCATTCAGACAGTAAGAGGCAGAATCAGGTAGTCAGGTAGGCAAAGTCTGTCTTGTCTCTCTGTACTCTTACGCCAGTCTTCAATCTTACACCAGTCTGTAAATGTCAGGAGACTTTCTACATGAGTTCGCACCAAAGGTGGAAGCTGGAGGGCTAAGAAGACAGTGTTCAGAGGGGCAGGAAGGAGCCGTAGTGTTTTCTGAAGCCACCTCAGATTTCAGACTACACACAGCAGTTCCAGTATGGATTCCATATGTGAAATGGCTGGTAGGATGCACTTAAAGCATCTCTGCTTTTGGCATCCAGATAAGAATGTCCTGCGAATTCCAACGTGTCCCATCCCCACAGGGGCCCTGTTTGCTCAGTGAACATGAGGAGGGAGGGTGGCTCTGTCCCCTGCTCCCTTCCCTGGTGGAGAGCTGTGAGGGGCACGAAGGGGAGCACATACTCACCTACAGTCTTCCCACCTTCTTCTGGGTGGTCTTGAATAAAGCCTCTCTTTAGGTATGAAAAGAAAATAAAAATGCATACACTATTATAAACCTCAATAAAAGGACACACACACAAAAGCTCAATGTGCAGAGGTGCTCAGTGGGTGATAACTCCATAGTCTAAATTTGATTTGAAAAGGGGTATGTTAAACTAGTTTAAAAAGGTCTCAGGGCCAGGTAGTCATGTTGGTACCATCTGGTTGACAGGAATAACCCTCATGAAGTCCTCCAAGACAAACAGTGACAAATTTGAGAGGGACAGCATTGAAATCTTCACGGTAGAGACACTGGACCTGGGGGACCTGTGGAAAGTCAGGATCGGCCATGACAACACAGGTTACTTCCCCACTCCTACCTTTTTTGGGTGGGGCTATAACCATAAGGACCATGAACAGATCTTTGGGGCCTCTGGGAAAGAAGTTTGGGATTGGATGCCCTCTGCCTTCCTTAACAACATAGTTTCTCAGTCCCTCTTGTCTGGCTGTACACACAGATTCTGGTGTAATTGTCTGAGTATTGGTGATTTTTAAAGTCAGTAATTTTAATGTGCAGCCAAATTTGAAAATCCCTGACTCAGTGGCTCTATAACTTGACTGTGCATCAGAATAACCTGGAGGTGGGTGGGATATAAAAACAGATTTCTGGGACCCACCCCTAGAGACTTCGATGCAATAGGTCTGGGTGCCTAAGAATATACATATCTCCCAGTTCCCTGGGTCATACAGAAGCCAATGATCGAGGGATCCCACTTTGAGAACCACTGATCTAGCCAGCCCTTCATGGAACCCACCCTCACTGCAGCCAGACAGAAGATGGACCCATATCTGTCCTCTCCAAATGAAGTAGGACTCTTTTTCTTAGTCCTAAAACCATCTCTGCTAAGCCTAAGAAAGGACTGTCAGGACTGCAGGGAAAGGGTTCCGTGTTTGGCTTCCATTTTTTTCTTTCAACTTAAGTTCTACTTTTGCAGGGAGGATCCTCCCTCCCCCATTCATTTACCCCCTTTATCCACCACAAACAGTGTGTCATCACTGCCATCGGATGGAATAATAGTCTTTTGGACACCAGCTGTCTTTGGTGTCCTGTTTGGAATCCTTGCACCCTGGACAGCACCCTCACTTCTCTCCCCCCAGACTCCCCATTCCTTCCTTCATTGCCTCCCTGTGTTCCCTAATTGTTGCTGATTTCACTGGCAAAGCCTGGACAGCAACACACCTCTGGCTGTGTGCTCATTTCAACAGGAATACTCTTGGTAATGCTGTCAGCAGAAGGGTGACACATGAATGATGGAGCTCTAAACGTTAGCCATCAAGTAGGAGTCCTTGAAGTTTCCCACAAGAAACCATCTCTGAACAAGTCTGTGATGGGTTCTGTGTCTCCTCTCTCTCTCCAGGCAAGGGACCAGGCTGGTTCGTAGACTGGGTAGAGGTGGATGCCCCATCTCTTGGAAAGTGCATGACATTTCCTTGTGGCCGCTGGCTGGCCAAGAATGAAGACGATGGGACCATCGTCAGGGATCTCTTCCACGCGGAGCTTCAGACAAGGCGGTACACACCATGTAGGAACCTCGCATGACAAGCCCGGTCCTCCTCCGGAATTTTATCACCTGCCACCCCAGTTCCTTATCCAGAGTTAACTCTAGTCAGGGCCCACTCATCCCCTCACAAAAGTTTCTGAGCTGGGGGTGGCAGGTGTGGAAGGGAGCTGTGGGCATAGCCCTGAAGCCAGGGAAAGAAAATATAGGATTTATTCCATACTCCACCTTAACCTAACTAGTGACAGCGTGTAGACACCTACCTCTCTAGGGTTCAGCTTCCTCATTTACAAAAGAGAGATAATAATGCAGTGTGTTGCAACATCCAACAAGAATGATCTAGCTGGGCGTGATGGTGCACACTTGTAATCCTAGCACTCTGGGGGGCTAAGGCAGGAGGACTGCAAGTTCAAGCTCAACCTGGGCAACTTAGTCTCAACCCTTTCTCAAAACAAAAAACTTTGAAAAGGGCTAAGGATGTAGCTCAGTGTGAAAACCTTGGATTCAGTCTCCAGTACAGTATAAAAAGAAAAAGGTCTAACTGAGGAATCATGATCAGCTGCGTGACCAATCTTTACTCCAGGCATAAATGTGTCAAAGAAATCCCACTCAGATTTTCTGCTGATGGGTGAGGGGAAAACTCAAAAAGATGGTAACTGTAATTGCTTTTACTGGATAAAGGAAAGGAGGAAGGTAAATAATTTGGTGAATTGTGGACACTTGTCCATCACTGTTGCCATTCAAGCATGTGTATTAAATATGTAAATGCATTTTAGGAAATGTGAATCAAACTTAAATCAACCAAAGTGTAAAACTGGTCTGAATTTGCTGAAATATGAACCCAGCAAATATGTTTTTCTAGCTAAATTATGAGCAGTATTAAAAGATCTCTCCTGAGTAGCTCATATACAAACAGCATACATCAGTGATACATTTCCCCCTAAAACAGTTAAAGGAGACATGAGCAGATCATCAAAATATTTTCTGGTCCAAAGCCTGAACTAAAGTGATAGTTCCCTGGGTGAAGTCCCTGCCCCCAGGAGCCACCTCCAGCTCAGGATGGACTCTGGATGGACAAGTGCACACAGGGTTGGTGGTGGGATTGGGTGGCATACTGGAAGGCAGGAATAAGCACCTGTCTCCCTTTGTGCCCTAAAACAGGCCTTACTCTGTACCCCACAAAAAAGTTTAAATTTGTATGGCCTGACTTTGAATCTGCAGTTATCCCTCAGTATCCCTGGGGAATGGTTCCAGGACCCCCGTAAGTACAAAATCTTCAGGTGCTCAAATTCCTTCTATGAAACAGCATAACAAAAGCTATACACATCTTCCTATATACTTTAAATGATCTCTAGGTGGTTATAATGCCTAATACAATATGCATGCTGTATAAATTGTTGCTATACTGTTTAGGAAATGATAACAAAAAGGTCTATACATGATTAATAGGACATAATTTTTGGAATATTTTTGAGACGTGGCTGATTGAATCCGAGAAGATAGAGGGCTGTGTTCAAGTCTAGCCTGATATTAAAGCTAACCTTTTGGCCCTTGTCTTAGACTATTATTTGCCAGAAACAAAAAGGAAGGAAGGAGGAAGGAAAGAAGGAAGAGAAGGAGGGAGGGAAAGAGGGAAAGAAATTGTTCAAGAAAGACTTGATTTTCAGGCTGAAGATCTGAGACGTAGTCTAAACTCTCTCAAGAGAGCAGGAGGGAGGTGGGAGCAGAGAGATTCTGCTGCTCAGAAACTAATTCTGGAGAAAGTCTCAAGGGGCTCAAAGCCAGGGAGTTGTAAGAAACCAGGGAGCTTTGGCCCCAGGAATGGCAGGAAACAGTGCCCAGCTGCCCCAGAGAGAAAACATCTAGAAGCTAGATGTGGCTGCTGGTCCAGGCTGTTGGTCAAGCTGCCTAATAACATGGAACCAGGGAGAACAGACCAGGAGGAGCTGTGCATTGACTGAGCCCTGCTGCAGGCACACAGGAAATAGCTGTGTACCAGGAGGAGGCTTCCTGGATGGTCTGAACATATAGGCCCAGGAGGAGGTGCGACACTGCAGAACACTCTGAATGTCACAACAGTGCCACATCAGAGCTGGTAGGGACCTTCAGCTTCCACATACAGTCTGAAAGCCCATGTCAGGTGAAGGAGGTATTTCAGAGCAAATGGTTGAGGGGAGGAGAAAGCCCGAGGGGGAAACACACCCCCTATGCCACCCAGAGCAGCTCCTTAGCTTTGAAAAGTTGTTTGTTTTTTTCCTGAACATCCCTGACAAATCTATTTGTAAGAATCCTGCAGTCAAGCAAACTGGAACAATGATGTAAGTAAGCCTCTTCGCCTTACAGGTAAAGGCCCAAGGACACACAGCTACCAATGGCAAAGGCAGAACTAGAAACCAGGAGCCAACTCCTGGCCCAGACCTGCAGCAATGAGGGCACAAGGGTGGGCTGTTTCTATTCAGAAATATGCAGGGCTTCTGATGCTGGTGGTGTCAGGAAAGCCAAAATTCTGTTGCCAGCTTGTTCCTCAGGCCTCCCAGCCTCAGCCCAGGGAGAAACCTATTAGGCCTCAGAGGGAGGAATGGCATGCTGCAGAGACAGTGCCTCTGTTATCGCTTGAGGGCCCGGCAAGGCTGAGACTTCTATTTCTCAGCTACCCATGAGTGGGGGCCCTTACTGGGGGACTGTGGTCACCTCCATGGGCTACCCTCCCTGTGGCTTGTGGGTGGGCAGAAGCACTTTCTTCCAAATTCCCTTGGAAATAGACTAATAGGTTCTGTTTTCAGCTCACATTCCACTAAATGATGTTGACAAGTTACTTCTCCCTGTGTCTTTGTTTTCTCATATAATAAAGTGTGTGTAAGAATGTCTACATTGTGAGGGTGAAAAAAGATAAAGACCACAGAATGCTGAGTATAGAATCTGACACAGAGTAAGTGTTCAGTGAGTGAAAGGTATTATGATTACAAGTATTAGCACTGCAGTGCTACAGCAAAGTACCCTGACGATAGACAGGGTGGTGTCCAGATAGAAGGTAGCCCCTAAAGTGAACCCTTTCAAGGGTCACAGGATAGGGTAGACTTTCCATTGAACTATTTCTCTGAAGCTTCATTGCCTTCTTTGCTCCTCCCTCTCCTTCCTCCCAGGAAAAGTATACACATTCATATATATATGCAAAAAAAAAAACACACACAAAAATTTACCCTCACCCTGTGTGAGGTTCATTGATACTTTCCATTCAATTCTGTTCAATTCCATGTATATTTTTTCCCATTAAGTTTATTGGCACATTTAAAGCAAGCAATACAGTTACATTTATCATTGGGATCTTTTACCTTTACATGATATGTCTTGGTTCTTGTTTTTCCCCATACCTCTGCCCTCCCTTCACCCCATTCACCCTTCCCTATTTAAAAAGACATTGTTTCCTTTTTTTCATTTTTTCACAATTTTCTTTTCCCTCCTCTTCCGACTTCCCCTTTAACCATTTCTTCCTATTTCACACTCTTAATTATACTATTTGAAACTTATTTACACTTTTCGTTTTTCACACCAGAGAAACTATCCGGTATATACTCAAATGTATCCTGTTTATCTCACTTGAGTATGGCCTCAGTGTGCATCCATTTAGCTATAAATATTTCTAGTTTCTCGTTCTTTATGGCTGAGTAGTACTCCATTTTATAGAAAAACTGCATCTTCTTTATCCAGTCTCCAGTTGATGGGCATTTGGGTTGTTTCCAAGTTTTAGCTATTACAAATTGTGCCACTATAAACATGGGTTTCCATGTTGTTTTCAACACAGTGGCTTTGTGGTGTAGTTTCAAGTTGGGAATTGTGATACCCTCTGCCATGTCTCTGTTGTTTAGAAAGGTTTTTGCTATTCTAGGTCTCTTCTGTTTCCAAATGAATTTTTGGATTGTTTTCTCACGTTCTTTGAAATATACTGTTGGGATTTCAATAGGGATTGCATTTAATCTATATAGAAGTTTTGGAAGTATGTCCATTTTCACTACAGAGCAAGGGATGTCTTTACGTCTTCTTATATACTCTCTATCTCTTTTTTCAGAGTGCTGCAATTTTCAATGTAGAGGCCTTTTGTCTCCTTCCTTAGATTGATTCCTAGATATTTCACTTTTTTGGATGTTTTTTGTGAAAGGAATTGTTTCCCTAATTTCTCTCTCAGTGAGTTTGTTATTTGTGTACAAGAAGGCTATTGCTTTTTGAGTGCTGACTTTGTATCCCGCTACTCTACTGAATCTGTCAATTAAATCTAGCAGTCTTTTGGCAGAGTTTTTTGGATCTTGTTTGAACAGTATCATATCATCAGGAAACAGTGACAGTTTAAGTTCTTCCTTTCCTATCTTTATGCCTTTTATTTCTTTCTCTTGTCTAATTGCTGTGGCTAGTGTTTCTATACTAACAGGAGTGGTGACAGTGGACATCCTTGTCTTGTTCTTGATTTTAGCATGAAGGTTTTTAGTTTTTGACCATTTAGAATGATATTGGCTGTTGGTTTTTCATAGATAGCCTTTATCAGGTTGAGATAAAGACCATCTATTCCAATTTTCTGTAGGGTTTTTATCATAAATATGCATTGAATTTTATCAAATGCTTTTCATGCATCTATTGAAATGATCATATGGTTTTTGTCCTTAATTCTATTAATATAATGTATTACATTTATTTATTTACATATGTTGAACCATCCTTGCATCCCTGGGATAAATACGACTTGGTCGGGGTGTATGATCTTCTTGATGATCTTCTGTATTCTCTTTGCCAGCATCATATTGAGGATTTTTGCATCTATATTCATTAGGGAGATTGGACTGTAGTTCTCTTCTTTGGTTGGGTCTTTCCCTGGCATTGGAATCAAAATACTACTTGCTTCCAGGAATGAATTTGGGAATATTTCTTCCCTTTCAATTTCACTGAAGAGTTTAAAAAGTAATGGCAATAGTTCTTCTCTAAATGTCTTGTAGAATTCAGCAGGGAAGCCATCAGGACCTGGGCTTTTCTTTCTTAGTAATGTTTTAATTGCATTTTCAATTTCACTGAATGTAATTGGGTTGTTTAGACTTTTTGTATCTTTGTTCAGCTTTGGAAGTTCATATGTGTCTAGGAATCTGTCCATTTCTTCTGTATTTTCCATTTGATTAGAGTATAGGTTTTCAAAGTAGTTATTGTTGATCCTCTGGATTTCTAGTGGGTCTATTGTGACTTCACCTTTTTCATTCCTAATTGCATGAATTTGAGCCTTTTCTTTCCTTTTTTTTTTTTTTTTTGACCAGGTTGGCTAATTTTTTATTGATTTTATTTATTCTTTCAAAAAACAACTCTGATTCATTGATTTTTTTGTATCGTTCTTTTAGTCTCCATTGCATTAGTTTCTGCTCTGACCTTCATAATTTCCTCCCTTGTATGAGCTTTCAGTTTGTCTTGCTCTTCTTTTTCTACGAGCTTAAGGTTAAATATTAGGTTGCTTATTTGAGCTCTCACTGTTTTCCTAGTATGGACATTTACTGATATGAATTTCACTCCTAGAACTGCTTTTGTTGTGTCTCATAAATTCCTGCATTTGTATTGGCATTATCATTTAATTGTAAAACTGTCTAATTTCTTTTTTAATTTCCTCTGTGACTCAATGGTTTTTTGGCAGGGTGTTACTTAATTTCCATGTGTTTGTGAAGTTCTTGTGGTTTCTTAGGCTATTGATCTCCAGTTTAATTGCACTATGGTCAGGTAATATACAGGTGATAACTTCAATTCCTTTGCATTTACTTAAACATGAGTTAGCATGTGGTCTATTTTGGAGAATGACCTTTGTGTAGTTGAAAAGAATGTATATTCTGATTTTGTGGGGTGAAACACTCCATAGACATCTACTAAGTCCATTTGTTCTAAGACTTGGTTCAGTTCTGCTATTTTGTTGTTGATTTTTTGTATAGATAATCTGTCTATTTGTGTCAGTAGAATATTGAGGTCCCCCACTACAATTGTATTAGTGCTTATTTCATTTTTCATATCCATTAATATTTGTTTTGTATAGATGGTGGCATTAGTAATTGGTGCATATATATTTATGATTGTCTTTTCTTCCTCTTGAATGGTTCCCTTTTCAAGGATGTAGTGGCCTTCTTTGTCTCTCTTAATTAGTTTTGGTTTGAAATCTATTCTGTCTGCAAATAAGATAGCTATCCCTGCTTTTTTCTGGGCTCCTGTGATGTGCAGAACTGTTTTCCATCCTTTTACTCTGTCTATGAATTTCTTTGTGGATTAAGTGGGTTTCTTGTATACAACATATTGTTGGATTTTGCTTCTTAATCCATTCTGCCAGTCTATTTCTTTTGATTGGTGAACTGAGGCCATTAACATTGATAGTTATAACTTTTATGTGTTGGCTTTTCATTGTCATATTATTTTCCTGTTGTTGGTTCTTTTATTTTTCCCCTCTTACCCTTTAATTTCTTGCCTTGCCTGGTGTATTTGCTCTGGTGGCCCTTATGGAGTTGTGGTCTTCATTTTCTTTTTCCAGGATATTGTTTAGAAGTGTTTGGAGTGCCAGTTTGGTGTTCATGAAATTTCTCAGGTGTTCTTTTTCACAGAAGTATCTCATTTCCCCATCCATTTTGAAAGGTAGTTTTGCAGGATGCATCAGTCTAGGTTGGAGGGTTTTTTTAAAGACTTGAAATACCTCACTCCATGCTCTTCTTGACTTGAGGATTTGTGTTGAAAAATCTGCTGTAATTCTGATGGGCTTTCCTTTGCATGTGATTTGTTTGTTTTCTCTTATTGCTTGTAGTATTTTGTTCTTCTGTCAGGTTTCTGGGATCTTGATTATTATATGTCTAGATGTAGATTTTGTTTGATCATGGCTAGTTGGAGTCCTATATGCCTCACTTATCTGTATGTCAAATTCTTCCCCCCTGTTTGGGAAGTTTTCTGTCATTAATTCTGTGAACAGTTTTTTTTTTATGTCATTTGTACTTTCTCCTGCTACTTCATGCATTTCTATCAGTCTTATGTTATTCTTCTTTGCACCATCTAAGAGTTCTTGGATTGATTTCTTATAGTTCCTTACTGTTTTTAAGAGATCTCTCTTTTCATGGTCACTGACGGCAATCCTATCTTCTATATCTGAAATTCTATAATCACATTCGTTCATCCTGCTGCAAATGCTTTCTATAGAGTTTTTAATCTCCTGGATATCTGAATCTGTTTCATAAATTCCATTTCTTTCCTATGTTGGGCATTCAAGGTTTCATTTATTTCCTATGCTGGGCATTCATGGTTTCCATCATGGTCCTAAGCTCATCTATTTTTTAATCTGTTTCTGTTCTAGAGTCTCTAATCATGTCTTTCATTCTTCTCACTATCTCTGTGGTTATCTGGGAAATTATTTCTGTTTTGAATTTTTCTAAAGCCTCATATATCTGTTTTTTCACTTCCTGTGCTGTATCGGTCCGGGGTGTCCAGATGGTTGACTGTCAGACTTTTCCACCTCATTTCCCCCACAGTTTACCTTTAGTGTTTTGTGTCTTGTTTAAATGCCTTTTCATTTCTATTTTTGTCATTGATACTGTCCTAGGTTTAATTCCTGGGTTAATACTTTGATCTTCCAGATACAGCTGGTCTTTAGGTTTTGAGTCTCTACTGTCTCTGAGGCAAACTCATTTTCATTATATCAGAGAGGACAACTGAATAGATCAATCACAATACCTTAGCTCAAGTGATACAATGAGCAACATAATAGCATCAAGCACAGCTTAGAAGATGACAGTTTCTAGTAGTTATTAATCTATCACCTGTAACTGTATGAATTAAATCAAAATCTGAGGACCAGCCCAAAATATGCTTATAGTGAATAAACTTTTCAATATAGCATCATTACCCTTCAGGATGGAGATTGAGAAGGAGTTGGGGAGGGAGGTATATATAGCTGGAATAGAGAAAGGTTAGGAGTGAGGTGAGAGGACACAGGAAGATCACACAAACTCTAGGGTGCTGTTGAAGAGAAGATGAGAAGACAGAACAAAATATACCCAAGAACAGGGCCAGGGATTTAGCTCAGTGTTTCCGTTACCTGCCTTGCAAGCACAAGGACTGGAGTTAGATCCCTGGTACACATACACACACACACAAAAAAAAAAAAGTATACAAAATATACCCAAGAACAGAACAAACTAACAGAAATAGGGAGGCTAGAGACTGTAATCATTTTCATTTTTCTTTCTTTCTTTTTTTTTTTTGCTTGCTTTTTTTTATGTAATCACTTTCTTTTAAAGCTAATGGCAATTGAGAGAAGGAAAAAGAGAAGAAAGGGAGAAGAAATAAAATAAATTCGAATTAGGATAGGAACGGGAAGAAAAAGGGAGTGTAATGGAACTCCAGATATAGAACATCTGTGACAACTCACTGAACTCATCTCACAACCTACTAGTGAATTTCAGCTGGTAGTTGGCAACAGGTTGTTTTAGACAACTGGTTTCAAACTTGAGTGTATAAAGTATGAGTTTGACCCACCCTGGGGAATGGTTTGCAACTGCATAGCTCCTTAAGAATTCCTGAAGGGAAGGGTCCCCAGCTCATATTTGTGGGAACATGATGGTCCCTCTGTGTGCAGTGCTAACAGCACCAATGAGTCAGGACTCTTGAGGATTCTTCAGGACTGACAGTCCTGGGGTGGGGGTGCTGGGTAATCTCTGCTGCATCCCTCACCTCCTATCCCCTCCACTCAAGGAGTATCTTTAAAATGAGGGAACTTGAATGAAGGGCCACACATAGAATGGATGAACCGGGGAAGGCAAACCAAGCCTGAAGCAAGTGAGAGACTGGCATCAGGGGATGGAGAGAGAGGAGAAAGGATTCCTACCACTGCATATCTGACTAGTGAGCTTCCCCTGAAACCTAATGCTCTGGTTACCTGGTGTCCATCTAAGCATCATGCTGAGAGCACTTTACAGACAATGGAATCTAAGGTTTATGAGTAACTTGCATGGGTAACAATGATAATCAAGTTAGGGCCAGGTCAAGCCTGAGTTTGCCAAATTCCATAGCCTGTGCCTTTGGCCAGTCTATGGCACTAACCCTGTGCTATGTGAGGCTTGAACATCCTTGTCTGAGAGGTTGGGGGTTCTCAGTGGGTGGTGAGCATGATAGGACTTCCTCTGAGGTTGCTCAGAAGGTTCAAGTCCATGGGAAGCAGCTTACTAGAGGAAAAGTCTGGGTAGATTGTGCTGGTAAAGAAGTTAACCTCACCTGCGTTTGTCTTCTGTTTTCTCACTCCCTCTGACCTTGACTTCTGGCTGCCCCCGCTCAGTTGTCCCTTACGAGATCACCCTCTACACCAGCGATGTCTTTGCTGCTGGAACAGATGCCAACATCTTCATTGTCATCTATGGCTGTGATGCCGTCTGCACTCGGGAGAAGTTCCTATGCACCAACAAGAGAGAACAGAAGCTATTCTTTGAGAGAAAGTCTGCCTCCCGCTTCATTGTGGAGGTACCTTGCCCAGATGGCTGCCCTGGATGGAAGAGTCAGAAAGGAAAGAGAGCAGTCCTGCCTTGAGGGCAAGACTGACTGTCCCTTCATCCCTGATGGGCCACTGTTAGTGGAAGCTGGGCAACTTATCCATCCTCTATAGGCCTCAGTACCAACACTCAACCAGAAGGATGGTAAAGCTCACCTGTCTCTTCAGAATTGGTGTCAAGATCAAAGGCAATGACAAGTGAGAGTACTTGGTCAAATGGAAGACATAAATGTCCATGGGGCCTCTGCAGTGCTTGCACCACCAGACACATACCCATAGGTGGAGTGAGGCTAGCTGGTTCAGGTGTGCTGGGGCAGTTGGGAATTTCATCACCAGTGATCATGTGATGCTTAGCTTTCAAGTTATGGGGAAACTACATGATATAGAAGGATGTTCTATATGTTCCAAGTCTAGGAAATGGAGGTGTAAAAATCAGCTTTTTTGTGTGTCACTGTGACAAAATGTCCAGGAAAGCAAACTTAGAGGAAGAAAGGTTTATTTTGGCTTATGGTTTCAGAAATTTCAGCTGGCTCCATTCTTACTGGGTCTGTGCTAAGGCATAAACATCATGGTAGAAAAGTGGTAGAGGAAAGCTGCTCACCTCATGGCAGCCAGGAAGGGAAGGTAGAGAGAAAGGAAGAAAGAGAATATGAGAGCTGACCCAGAGAAAAATAGGTGGGGTCTAGATGTAGCTTTCAAGGCCACACCCCCATGATTCAGTCTCTTGAACTAGGTGCCATCTCCTATTTCCATTACCTCCAGGTAATGCCTTCAAGTTATGATCTCATCAATGGGTTAATCCACTAGATCCAATAACTTCCCTGGGGGCATATTGAACATTGGCCACACAAGGGGCTTTATTGTTTGATGTGAGTGTAGGTCCCAGAACCTTGAAATCATATACTCCTCCTCCATTCAGTGCATATGGTGCTGTATGGTCCCTGTTGTATGCTAGAGGGAATGGGAGACACAAGAGGAGGAGATAGCCCAGAGCCTGCCTGGCAAGGAAGTTGCAGTATATAGTTGGAGACCCAGACTTCCACACAGAGCTAGTGAAAGTCTGGTGATCATCATCATCATCATTGACCCTATGAAACAGAAGACACTAACCTAATGCATTTATCTATATCAGTTCAGTGAATGACTCCATACTGTAACCATCCCTGTGTAAGGAGGAGCAAACTAAGGCCTAGCAAGTTGAGTGGCCTGAAGCCACATGGCTAGGACATATGGAAGCAGGACCTAAACCTACAGAATTGGCTCTGGAACACATGCTCTTAGCCACTGCTGCAGACTAGCAGGTCGACTGAGATTATTGTAGGTGTTTGGAAAAGGAAAAGTCTCCTTGGGTTGGTAGCTTTGAGTTCACCATGAAAGTGGGCATAAACAGAACAAAGAGGAAAGGCATTTTGGGTGAGGGGAACAGCATGTCCTGTAGCCAAGAGGTGGAAATAAGCTCAGCATGCAGCTTGAGGTTTGGCCAGAGGTGCAGGAGGAGCATGATGTGACTTGCAGTGAGGATAGGAATGAAGCAGGACTGGGAAAAAAGACAGGAGCCTCCGGAGCTGGGACTGTTGGGAAATAAGGATCTATGGAGACATACCCCTTGTTTTCTGGTAAGCAACAAAATCTAGTGCATGTCTTAATCTTGGCCCATCACTGTCCCTTGGACCCCTGCTCCTTCCCCACATTCTGTTGGAGCAGTTAACACTGTGGGAAAGCCTTTTGCCTTTGTCATATCTTTTATGGAGAATTCAAGGCTGATTCATTTATCCATGAAGCTGGCATCTCCTCAGCTGAGATGTTGTGGTACATGAGTTATTGAGTCTGACACCATCAGTGACTGAGGCTGCAGTTACACCTTGGCAGGACCTCCTGGAACTTTTATTAATGAAGTCCCTTCTCATAGAGAGCTATAATTTGCCAGTAATTAGTTGGTTATTTTTTTCTTTTTTCTTTTCCAATATACCTGTGTCTTGAGGGAAACAAAGGAGAGACTCAATCTTCTGGCCTCTCTCTCTCTTCCTGAATGTATTCCTCTTTACTTCTCTCCTCTGATAAATCTTCAAGTGAAATCTAAAGCCTGAGTTGTGATTCCATAACCTTGAGTTCTGACTCTAGCTCAGCTACTAATCCATCAGCAAGTCACAACCTTTCCCTGAGCCACATCCTAAGATAGAGTTGACTTGGAAAAGGACAAAAAGGGCTAAGGGTCCATGATTCCTTCTCATGGACCAGCCTTGTTCTAAGCACTTGACATGGATCAATCTCCAAGAGAGTGTCTATGTAATCCTCCTACTTTACAGATGAGCAAACAGAACCCAGAAAGTTCAAAGTATCAAGTAGCAGAGCTGGGATCTACCCTCAGCAGTTAGCCACAGAGCCTGCCAAGCTTAGTGCTTTCACCTCCCAGGAGAATACTAGATACCTTTTGATGTTGCTGTTCTCTGAGTCAGTCTCCAAGGCCTGTCAACCACAATGAAAGGGCTGCAGCTGAGACAGCAACCCTGGTACTTGCAACTGAGTGGCTGGACTTTAATAGGGCATAGATGTGGCATTGGAGCCACAGGCCCACATACCTTAACATCAATATGATGGGCCAGGGCAGGAGGAAAGGAGGCCTGTGGACAGAAAGGGAAGCAGATGACTGTTCACTTTCTGGGCCGGCCAGGCAGCTGGATCTTCAGTGGAACTCTTGTGGATAAAGGTCTTTACCTATGGCATCTGTGCCTCTCAGATGGGAAAGACCAAGGCTTGTTGAAACTGGTACTTAACATTAGCCTAAAGACACTGATCTTTGTTGAATAATTTGGATCCCTCAGAGGCTTGCAAGACTTCCAGAGGCCCTTGTGGCCAGGGAGTGCTGCTACTCTGAAGGAAGTAGGTGTTGGTGGTGGACAATGTAGCATCCTTGTCAATCCACAGAGTTTGTAGCAGAGTGACACTCTGTGGGGCACTTAGAAGTGAGTGACAAAAAAGAACCATGTCTGTGGTCTTAGACCTAGACATGACCTCAAGAAGTTGTCCCACACACCGCCCTGTCTTTGACTAAGACACCATTCTCAATATTTTATAGATGAAGAGATTTAAGTCCTGGTAGCTTGTCTAAAATCATATAGCATTAGGGCAAGAATGGGAAGAGTGAGTGAAGGGCAAGGGAGAGAGACTTCCCAAGCATTGCTGATAGGAAGGGGGAGGGGCAGAGAGAGAGGAAGCCAGAGGCTAGAGGCAGCTCCTGTTCATTCAGAGGTTGCTTGTGTCTATGATATGAAGCCTTTGCATTTGGTGAATGACTCAATCAATCACTCAGACACCATTCTTTCTTGGCAAGCTCTTTATTCACACCAGAGTTGATGGTGCCATTCTGTGACATCTGAGACCTTGATGGAACGGGCTGTGTGACCACTTCTTCAGAGAGGCTGCCAGTAAACTCAAGTCTGTAGATACCCGCCCCTAGCCTTCAATTGACACTTGTGATACAAATTTCATAAACTAGCTATGGTCCAGTGCATCCTGGTATCATTGTATCTGCTTGCCCTTCTTTTCCCTTTGCCCTTCTTCCTCATCTATTTCTTATTCTGTTATTGACTCAGATCTTCTTACAGATAAATCTGGGTGTGATAAAGTGTCATTTCCAAGGAGAAGGTGACACATGATAATGTAGAGAGGCCAATGATGCTTCTGGGGGTTGCTTGAGTGGAGGCTGATGAGGTATTGGAGGGAATCTTGGCACAGAGGGCCTCTTGCCAGGTGAGCAGATAGGCTTGTCTTGTGTCTGACCATCTCACTGCCTCTTTAACAAGTCTGCAAGTGTCAGGGGATCCATCTATTCTGACTAAGCCCCTCACCCTATCCCTGTCAGCTCCAGGAAGCAGAGAAAAGATCAGACTCTTGATGCCTTAGCTCAAGGGCTCACCATAGCACACACATGTCAGCTTTTCTACATGCCACTGTGGGTAAGGTTCTCCATCATCTTATGAGGGGGAGGAGTCTGGCTGACTTTGTTATCCCCACCTTGAAGATTTTAAGGCTCTCATTCTTCCAACCTTTCAGCCCATACTTGTTGAGTACTTATATCACAGGCACCAGTCTAGGCTTTGAGGACACCTTGGTGAGGAACATGGTGTCTGTTCTTGAGGCTCTCTGTAGTGGAGGAGAAAGTGGGTGGATACAGTGTTGGAGAAGACCATAGGTGTCATATAAACAAATGTAAATTTGGCTCTGTGGGAAGTGCTCAAAGGGGGAACAACCCCATGATAGAAGATCCACTGGGAAGAGATCTGACTTTTTTGGAGAAGTACAAGGAAATGAGAAGACATGATCCACAATCTGTGACCTGAGTTATGTGATTGGGCAAGTACTGGATTAGATAAAAAGAGGAAAGAAGAGGGATCAACAGAACATGAGCAAAGGTCTAGTATATCAAGAGAATGTCAAATTTTAGGGACTAGAATATGTGGAAACCCAGACAAGGGATGGCAGAAACAGAGAGGCTGTTAGGGGTTCAGAGGGATTGAGTGAGGTCAGCCTGGCAAGACAGGAGCAAGGGCAAAATCAGAACTCCTCTTCTGATACCCGATTTATTCCCAAACTGCAACAGCAAGTGATGGAAGATGGGGGTGAGTTCCACCCTGAAAAGGAGACCACCTCCTAGAGAAGGGTGTAGAACTGAATGCTTGCATAGAAACTGACTCTAAGTGGGGAGCAGGAAAGTGAGGTGTGAGCATGGAAAGTGCAGAGAAGAGGGGAAGCCTGGTGGGATAGTGCAGATGTATTCAGAGAAAGTGACCCCTAGAATTCAAAGGGACTCGAAGGAGATGCTCTAGGATTCAGAGTGTGAAGAAGGCCTCTCTGCTAACATCTGATATCTTTTCTCTTTTCCAAAGTTAGAAGATGTGGGAGAAATCATTGAAAAAATTCGGATTGGCCATGACAATACAGGCATAAATCCTGGGTGGCACTGCTCTCATGTGGATATCCGCAGGCTCCTTCCAGATAAAGATGTGAGTTTCTCACTGATCTATTCTGCTGTTCTTTTTGCCTATTCTAGGCAGAGTCCTTTGCTGGCTGCTTCAGCATTATTAAATTGAGATAAAATCTTCTGAGAATACCCAGGTCACTCCAGCATAGGAACTAGCTCAGGTCCAAAATGGAATCTTCTACAACCTGATTTATTAGTCAAGGAGGACAGACTGGGCACCCACATCTCTCTTCTCCATCACCAAGGCCATATTATTAGTGAGTGACCACCTTTTCCTTCCTGCTACTCAAGGCCAACTCATAGAAGAAAATCTACCCTGAATGACTGGGGAAACCTTTAGCAACCTCAAAATTCTAAATTTTGAAAAATGCTCAGTCACAACTGTGTATCCATAAATGACTTAGGAGCAATTTAACAGTACAGAGCCCCCTTCCTCATTCACTGGTTATGAGTTCCTGAAGTGGGGCTCAGATATCTATATTTAAGGGAACTTGGGAATCCCAGCCTTGAAGAGCCAACTCCTAGTATAGTTGTGAAAGCCTTTAAGTAAGATTGGGCCTGCTAAAATTGGGGCAGAAATTCTCCCTTGAAGTTTTTGCACTATCCGTGGAAGCCCGTGACCCTAAACTTGTTCCTCATGAGGATTAGCACACTGATGAACACTGAAGTTGGCAGTTTCTGTATCAAAGTTTAATGTTCCTTTCTCCCACCCCCACCCCAGGGTACAGAGACCTTGACTTTCCCATGTGATCGATGGCTTGCCACCTCTGAGGATGACAAGAAGACCATTCGAGAACTGGTCCCTTATGACATCTTCACTGAGAAATACATGAAAGATGGATCCTTACGGCAAGTCTACAAAGAAGTGGAGGAGCCTCTAGACAGTAAGTGTGGGAGGTCACTGTCATTTCCATAAGCAACTCCAGGACCATGGTCCTTGAGGAGCACCTGACCCATGCTAAGCTGAGCCTTCTTACTCAAGAGGAGGATCTGTGGTCATCTCTGTCCTGTTGAGATTGCAACAAGGTTTGCAAAGGTTACATAGCTGCCCAAGGTCTAACAGCTAGTACATAGCTTAGCTAGTCTTCAAAATCTGCCTGTTTCACTCCAAAAGTTGTGCTCATATCCCTTCTTAGTCTTCCATTGTGATAATGTATCTCTAATAGAAACTATCCTGTGCCTACTGATTTTCTCCCTGCTCTGCTTATTTGGCTTGGTGTGTGACTTGATCTCTGCTCTTACTGGATTTGGCTGCTTCAATTAAGTATGAATTAAGAAACATCCTTGAGCTAGAGTGGAGCTCAATGGTAAATCTCTGTGCTCCCTTCCCAGCACCACAAAAAAGCAAAAGGAGGAAAGAAAGGGAAGAAGTGAGTGAGGGTGGGAGGAGCAGAAAGGAAGAGGGACAGGGAGAGGGAGAGGGAGAAAAGAGAGATATCTCTTGGGTTGACATGTAACTGAAGCCATGGTGTATTTGGGTGCTGCTGCAGTGTGAAGGTCATGGGCTTCTTTTCTGCATGAATCAGTCACCTTTGTCCTTTCTTCGGGGGTGTGATTTTTCTCTGAAAGATCTACATTGACCTGACCACTCACTTCTGCTGCCTCCTCCTTTGCTTTTGGCAACATCATCATATTCTGATACTCTTCCCACCTCTCCAAGTAGCCCATTGTGTGCAAGTTTCCTTTCTTGGACCAGGGTTATTCTTCAAGGCTCATTCCCCAGCCTTCTCTCTCTAACATGAAGTGTGTGTGTGTGTGTGTGTGTGTGTGTACCACATGGACAAAGTCACACCTCTATTTTGATGAGTGATTACATTGTCCATGTCAAACCCTATATTATTCACCTGCCATGCAACTCTAAATAAGCTTCAGCTTTTACAAGTCAATTTCAATTACAAAAGCCAGGCATTCTAGCCACTCCAACAGGCTATCTAAATAGACCAGAGGAGCTCCAAGAGTTTAGAAATCCAGCTTGAATTAGTGGCTCTGCCTTCTTGGAAAAATTGGATTAAACCCAAGTTTCCAGTAAGACCCAAGATTCCCACATGGACTTAGGGGAGCAGGTCTTCCAGCCTGCTAAACTGATAAGACAGACAAAAGACAAACACTGTTTCCTTTTTTACCACTGGAAATAAAACAGCTGTAGTTCCTACCCTACTTTAATCTGGGCTGCCAATCAGTTAGAAAGAGCAGCAAATTTATCTTGGTAGTGACTGGACCTCTCCTCATCCTTACCTTATCTCCATGTTTTCTGTGCTATTAAATCAGGGAGATGATTCTTTTTCCTACATGGACCCCAGAGGATGCCTTGGAAAGCTGTCCCAGAGGCACACTTGGGCTGCTCTGTGTGAATCACATGCCGCACAACCTACTCTGAGCTTGGTGGTGTTTTTAAGGAAACATCCTTCCACAGAGGAACTGTGTTGCTTGGGTGGGACTGGGAGAGGGAAGGATCCAGAAATAGCTGGATCCTGCTTAATCACATTGCTCAGCACCCAGAGGCTGAATCAGTCTTCCTAATCTCCAGAGGGCTGGTGAAAACAGTGGGGGCATAGGCAGGCCATTTAGTCACAGCCCCTGGGGACACAGCATCCCACTTGGGGACACAGACTCCTAGGAAAGGTATCTAAACTGGCCCACCCACCTGTGATGATTCCACGTGTGGAGCAAGCCTGAATACAGCCAGGAAGAGCGGGTGGGGAGCAAGGAAGGAGGATGGCTGACTGTTGTGTCTGAGCTGTGACAAGATTTCTAATGTTACTTCAGGTCGGTGTGAGCCTGGCAGACTCCAGTAATATTGACTCTTTTAAGCAACAAAGATGTCATATGATAATGTACCACATGAAATTCTGCTGGATTCTGCACTGAGCTAACAGGGAAGGGGTGGAGGTAGGCAAGAGTAGCCCCTGGTCCCTGCCCCTGTCAGGAGACACACCTCTGCACCAAGGAGATTTGGAGAGTAAGGGCTGGAGAGCAGGCTGTGGGGACAAGGAGGTAGGTTGGGAGGTTTGGAAAGGAGGCGAGGGTGCAGAAGGGGTAGAGTTCTGTTTGGACTTATGGATTTGTGGGCCTGAGGTCTAGTCCAGGTGGACATGACCACAAGGTGACAGAAGGCAGGGTCATCTGAAGCCAAGGAGGGACCTGGGTTGGAGACACGGGCTCCAGAACTCAAGGAAGACAATGCCAGGCAGTGCCGGATGAGAGCAAAGCGATGAAGATGGAACAGGCATTACTTGGTGTTCCTGGAGTATAGAAGATGAAGAATCCATGAAGCTGTTCAAGAAAGAATGTCCAGAGAGCCAGAAGGAGGGTATGATGCTGTGAAATCCAAGCAAAAAGAAAGGAACAACAGGAACCGTGCCATGGTGTGTGTCCATAACTGCGGGTGCCAGTGAGAAGGCCACACAGCACCCTGCTTTCTGAAACTGAGGAGGCTGTGAGTGTGCTGGCAAGGGCTCATGAGAAAACCCAGCTCTGCCACTGTAGGAAGAGGAGCCCCTTTCCTAGGCTCTGTAAACATCCTAAGGCTGATGGGATTGGCCTAGCACTTAGTCCAGGCTCCAGTCCTCCCCGTGCTGTCCTGCCACGAAGTGCCACCGTGGCTGCCAACACTCGGTGACATTTCCCTGGGTGGCAGGAAACAGCACTGCATGGAGCTTTGCTTTTTCAAAGGAGCCTCTTTTCTGATCCTAAGGCCTTCTTCAAGCTTTAAATTATCCACCTACGCCTGGCAGCCATCTCCCTACTGGGTCTCTGTGCAGGTGAGGACCCTGGCTTCCTAGGATGAGGGAAATGAATCTTCTTCCCTGTTTGACCACTTCTACCCTTCCCTTCAGAGCTTTAGCTTCCCTCCCATTATTGCCATACCCTTGGCAATAATCCAGCTAAGTCTCCCTCATCCTTGGCCTGAAATTCCAAATCTTTTAGAATGGAGAAAAATGGGGAGGGGACAAAGCACTCCTGAAAGTCATAAAAATGCATGAGATTTGTTCTTCCTGCTGGGTTGGAGGCTGAGAAAGGAGCTCTTCTTTAAGAAGCAGCAAAACAGACACTAGATACTACTAGTGTCTGTTTTCCTTAAGAACACTTCACAATTGTTACCTTGATATGTATTGTGTCCTTGCCAGGAGTCATGGGAACAAAGGAGAGGGTGGCTGTCTCTGTGGCTTTGGGGAGAGGAATTTGGAAGGAGCACTGGCAGCAGGCAAGGGACACTAGGGAGCTGAACAATAACTGAAATTAAAGAAAGATACTGAGGAACAACCAGTTTTTTTATTGTATTTTTTCCATAATCCAGTTAGAAGGATCTGACATTGATACCTGTGAAGTTGAAGTCATCTCCTTGTTGGTGCATCATAGCAGGTAGATTTGGCGCCTTCAATGTGCACACATTTGAGGAAGTTTCCTGAATCTTTCTCCCTAAACACTGTAAGACACTGTGTGGATGGATGGTTTGAGAGGTGATGGGCATCTCTACCACCTACCACCTATGGTGAGTCTACACAGAGTGTAGGCAAGCATGTATCACTGAGCAGATGACAGGAAGGCCCTGCCTCTTCCAAGTCCTTACAGATCTCCACAGTTCCTCCAAACCCAGTCCCAGACTTAAATTGCTGTCATCCTTTCTTCTCTTTGCTTGTCTCTCCAACTTCCTGTACAGTCGTGCTGTACTCGGTGCAGATCTTCACAGGGAATGTTCCTGGGGCAGGCACAGATGCCAAGGTCTACATCACCATCTACGGGGACCTCGGGGACACCGGGGAGCGGTACCTTGGCAAGTCTGAGAACCGCACCAACAAGTTCGAGAGAGGAACGGTAGGAAATGCACTGAGTTTACTCCATTTACCTTCCCTCCCTCACTCTAGTTATCTGGCCCCTGCCTCTCCTTGGTCCTGGGATGTTCAGGAACTTTTCAAGGTGTCATGCATCCTCACTGGGCTTCTCACCTTGCCCTTATGCTACAAGCACAACTTTTCCCCCCTTCCCAGCTGATGCACCCACCTAGGGCCCCACAGATGGGTTGGGGACCAAGGAGGGCCTGACTCCAGGTTGTTGGCAAATGGGAGTGGCTCATCCTCACCAGCAAATCTGGTTCTTCATGGTGGTGTTTGGCAGGGCATGGGGGTCCCTGCATGTGGAGGTGAAGGCTATGGAGTGGCTGGGGCTGTGCTCTACCTGGGGGTTCAGAAGTCCGATGCTGCCACCTGCTCCTTGTCTAATTCAACTTTTTTGGCCTCAGTTTTCTTATTTGTAGAATGAGAAGTCAAATATGAATTGGCTAAACTGTGATGTGCAGAGCCCTCGGCAGCGCCAACACCCTTGGGATAATGGGGACAATAGGAGAGCAGGGTGACAGAGAGGCTCCCCATGACCACCCAGGTAGAACCACTTTGACCTGGCCTATCTGTTGGGGTGCCACATGGAACCTCTATTAAGCAAAGGCATGAGTAGCTATTTAAAAAAAGAAAGCTTGAAAATCACATAACTAGAAAGTATCTAAGGTCCTTCCAGCTCTGAGATGAAGCAATTTTACAAAAAGGAAGAAGTCTGTCCAGAGGACCCCAAAGGTGGGCATTGCCACACTTCCCTTCCCACCAATTCAACCTCCTTCTCCCTACCACAGACCTTTTTCCCATATCTTTTCCCCCTTACCCTTCCACTTGATCCACAGTCTCTCTTTTCTCTCCCCTTTCGTCTAAATCTGACTGCAACCCCCACAGCCAGGCATTCTCCAAGGAGATCAGATTCAGGGACTTGGCTCCTGTTATAAGCTGTGACCTCACTTATGCCCATATTTCTGCGGGGACTTCATGTCAATCAATGGGTATTTACCAAGGATGTCCTTAAGCCTGACTCTCAGCCAGGCATGAGCCTCAGTGTAGAGGCACCTAATACTGATGGGGGGGGTAATTAGCTCTAGGACAAGAAAAATGGTGTCATCTACATGGATCTGTGGGGGCTGATGACCTCATGAGGCAGGCTTCGTGGAAGGAGCCCAGTCTGGAAGACAAATCCCAGAGCTCGCCTTCATCTGTTCTGCGATCCAGATAGAAGCCTTTTACCTTTAACTTCAGTTTTCTACTTTTGAAGAGGGAATAGTAATGTGATTGCTAATTAGACCTTTAGACTGAAAAACGGGATGTGATATAACAGCACTTCATAACAGGGAAAAATGATTTAAAAGTCACCCCACACCCCTCAGAGATGAATTGTTCTCTGTCCATGAGGAGCAGCTAGGAGAACCATCTATTCTTTTCTTTCCACTTAAGCCAAAGAGATCAAGTAGGTTTGTATGATCTCCCTGATTCTTCTAGGGACATGGTTATTCAGGTGCCCAGACAGCGGAGCCAAATCACTTGAGTTCAGGTTCCGGTCTAACATTCACTAGCTGTATGATCTTGGGCAAGTCACTTTACATCTCTATGCCTCACTTTCCTCAACCATAAAATAGAGTTAATTTTGAGTCAACTGAAGTAAAACATGTGAGCAATCAAAACCATGCCTGGCACACAGTTATCTCATTTGTCCCCTGCCTGCACTGATGTCTGGTAAATGTATTGGTAAAATAGCAATGTGCAGTAGACAGCTCTTAGACAGATTTTTGTTAATGGCTATATTTAAGGACCCTGGAAAAAAAGGTACTCAATAAATATGTGTTGAGGGAATAAATGAATGAGATGTCATCTATTCTTCTCTGTGTTCAGATTCAGCCTCCCCCCATAATTGTTCCATCACAAGATTTTTGCTCATTTTTTCCATCACTCTCTTCCTTTCATCTGGTTTTAATCCTCCATCAGGAGAGCTGGAGATACCTCTGGCTCAGGTACTGACCATTTTTATGACTTCAGGTTCACTTCCGAGCATCCCAAAGTTTCATTTCTCTACTCACTTGCTCTGGAATCCAAGAGTCATCCTTGACACCCTATTCCCTATCAGCACACCCTCCCCATCTACATCCAATTGCCTGTGCAGGAGATTCTCTCCTCTCAACATCTTAGATCAAGTTAGCCTCTAACAGTCATCCCTTTCTCCTCTGCCTTTGCTTAGTAAAATGGCTCGGTCTCCCTGCTCCAGGCCTCAACAGCCAATCCATCCTCCAGCTGCCTCATTAACCCATCCAAAACAGATAGAGGGCCCCTCACTTCAGTCCTTCAGGGTTCCCATGGTCACAGACCCCACCTGAGAGCTGCACAGGATTTGCAGATAAGCCCATGATCCCCCACTGCTCAGCCTGCCTGCAATGTCCCCTAAAGATCACTGGGCCCAGTTTCCAGAATGTCCATGCTTTCTCCTGTCTCTGCACCTTTCCAAGTTTCTCTGCTTGCTTATTCATGCGCCTAAAGAAAGTAGATGATGTGCTTTCACTTTTTTACATGAAAGGCATCATAGTATTAAATTTCTTCCACTTGCCTTTAGCATTCAGTGGGATCCCTTGGAAATTTTTCAATAAAGGGATATTCAAATGTAGATGGGGCTGGCTCTTCTTTACATGCCTCCATTCCATGGAAAAGCCTATTCCCAGGTTATTTAGCTGTTCCAGAAGTGGTAGACCCCAAGTAGCTTCAAGTATCCCACTGTAAAAGTTATCATGCAATAAATAAACATCCCTGGGCCCACATGAAAGTCTGACAGATACGAAGAAGTAAATTTCTGAATGTGCCATTTTTATTCTGATGAACTCAGTCAATTGCCATTGCCTGAAATTAACAAGACTGTGTGTCAAGAGCCCCTCCTCTGTCACTGCCATGGCCCTCAGGTCCCCACACAGCTTATCATACACAGTTCATCTTTCAACCTCCTACAGGCTCATCCCTAGAGAAATTTGGATGAAGGCAGCTTTCTCCACAATGTTGCATGCATGAAGGGACTGTAAAATGGGGCCATTGTGGAAGTGAGGTCATGAATTCAGTCATCAAGCAATTGTCTTAGGAATTTGGTCCTGGAAGACACCCAGGCAAGGAATATCCGTTCAACCCAGTAGTGGTGGAGGATGGAAGGTCCTGGACCGATGGGGTTGGAGTGGGTTGAAGTGAGTGCTAGCTCACCAAAGGCTCCACATTGGTCTTTGCAGGCTGACACCTTCATAATCGAGGCTGCTGACCTGGGTGTCATTTACAAGATCAAGCTCCGCCATGACAACACCAAGTGGTGTGCAGACTGGTATGTGGAGAAGGTGGAGATCTGGAACGACACCAACGAGGATGAGTTCCTATTCCTCTGTGGTCGCTGGCTGTCCCTGAAGAAAGAGGATGGGCGGTTGGAGAGGCTCTTCTATGAAAAGGTACAGAGAGAGTTCAGCCATGGCTTATCATCATCTTTATAGGGGAATCAATGGGGAAAAAAAGTACTGGAAATTTAAAGCCACAGTCATGCTTTTCTGGACAGGAGTACACTGGAGACCGCAGTAGCAACTGCAGCAGCCCTGCTGACTTCTGGGAGATTGCTCTGAGTTCCAAGATGGTCGACATGGACATTGACACAGTGACAGGACCCATGGTGGACTATGTTCAAGAAGGTCCGGGTAAGCTGAGCAGAGGCTCTTTAAAGGAAGAGCTGGCATGTGGAAATGCTTTTAAGCTATTTTTGGACAGCCTATCTATCTTATCATCATTGAAGACTTAGGTCTACTACTTTGTGTTATACCAAGTCCTCATATGTGTTGCCTATTTTCATCCCCACATCAGCCCTGTGAGGTGAGAGGTTAGAGAGAGAGCCCCCATTATTAGATAGAAAAGCAAAGGCTGAAGATGTTAGAGTGATGATGTCTTTAATCCCCTGATTTTCTACCAGGAAGGTATCACTGCAAACCCTGCCCTTGGTTCAATTTATTCTTTCTTCATAAAATGATATTATAATTCTCTGGCAAGTGCATTTCACCAGGCAGATTTCTGAGATAAGGCAGTTCTATATTTGTCTATTGAACATTTCAATGCCCTGCCTTCTATTCACTTATCTTAAGCATAACAGTGTGACAACCATGATATTCCTCCCCAGGAGACCATGTGGTGGATTGTGAGGTCAGACAGAGAGCCAATCTATTTGCACTTTACTTTGTCACTCTGTGAATAAATGACAGGACCCATAAAAAGTGCTTGTCCTTAAGTGAGCACTGTGATCAGTTGTAGAAAGGCCAATAGTGTTCTCTTTATAAAGACAGAAAAAGGCCATGAGTAGGTACACAAAATGCTGCATATAATTCCATCCAGGAAGGGGTAGTTTGGGATCTTTCCAAAGAGATGCACACTGCATAAGAGAAAGCCACTATGCCAGGGCAGTATCTTCCAGCCTGTGGAGGAAGATAAACCAAGAAAAGAGTTTCCAACTTGTATCAGCTAATAACTGCAAATTACAGAGGGCTGGAGTCTAGTGGCCAAGACAAAATTTAGAATTGTTCTTTTCTCTTACATAAAAGTTCAAAGATAGACTATCTGTGACTAATGTAGCAGCTCCAGTGAAGTCAGGGACCTACATTCCTTCCACTTAGTCACTCTAACAACCTTACAAATAAATAGCTTCCATCCTAAATGCACAGTATTCCGAGATGACTGCTGGAGCTCCAGCTATCATGTTCACATCTCAAGCAGAGTGGATGGAAAGTGAGGGGCAAAGGAGTGCTCCTTCTAGGAGAGCCAGGCCCTTTCAAAAAGATTTCTCAGAAACCCACTCAACAGTATCTACTTACTTATTATAACCATCCCTAGCTATGAGAAGCATGAACACTGAGTGGATAACTAAAAATCTGTGCCACACTACCTGAGCATCCTTTTACTCTATCTAGTCTGGTTCAGTTTGGAAATGGATATGTTCTAGACTTTCATCATGTTACATATATGATACACTTTTGTTATTCTTCCTTTAATTCCTACTCTCTCTGAGACCTTGATCTTGCTTTTTCTCTGAGGTCTCATTTTGGCTGGCAATAGTAAGATTGTCAGGCAGATAACTTCTGAACTTGAGTAGGGGGGTGTTGCTGTTACCCTTCCTCGCCAGGTAGTGCTAGGTTCAAGTAAGATCACTGGTCAGAGGGCTTTTGGAAGCTTGAAACTTCACACAAGTGACAAAGACATCCTCTTGGGTCTTCACATCAGGAGTGACCAGCTCCCTTGCTCCTGGAGAGTAGAAAACATAGTGCACTTGGCAGTCTGGGAAGTCTCATCACATGTGGTCTCCAAGCAGGGGGCTGAGGTCAGTGCCCTCCAGAGGTCATTTCCAAGCCCACCATCCCACATGGCAACACCCTTGTCTAGCTGGCCCCTGTGATTTCTTGCAGTTATTCCCTACTATGTATCTGTCACCACTGGGAAGCACAAAGATGCAGCCACCGACAGCCGGGCCTATGTCATACTGATTGGAGAGGAGGATGAAAGCACCAACCGCATCTGGCTGGACTACCCCCAGGGGAAGAGAGGGTTTGCCTGCAGCTCTGTGGAGGAGTTCTATGTTGGAGGCTTGGACGTGGGTGTCATCAAGAAAATAGAGGTACTGGTCCTTGGGACTCTGCAATGGTGACTGCTTACAGAGAATGAAGGAACTGGCCACTACCTGGGGTGGGAATTGGAGGGCAAGCAAAGCAATGACCTGGGTCCCCTCATAGCAGGCAGTACAGGAAGATCTCCAGGCCTCCACCATCAATGATCTGGGTGAGCTTGGTGAACCTGTCCCACTGCATCCCCATTTTCTGCCCACCCAATGGGGACACCCTATGTATTGGCTTGCTTTTGCTGTGTAACAGATGCCTACCAACTTTGTTCAATCAAAGCAATGTAAGTGTATGATTGTTCGTGGGTCAGGAGTCCAGATGTAACTTAGCTATGTCCACTTCTCAAGGCCTTACTGGGATGAAAACTGACTGCATCTGTGCTATGACCTCTTCTGATGCTTGAGGCCTCTCCCAATCCCACTGGTCATTGACCAAATCCATTTTCTAGGGGCTGTAGGACAGAGGCCTTCAGTTCCCAGAGGCTGCCTGTCATTCTCCACCATGTAGCCGTCCATCTCCAAAACTTACTGGTGTGTTTGTTCAAGGCTGATAAGAGATGATTTCTTCAGCTCCAAACTTCTCAGGCTTCTTCCACCTCTGACTTCCAGACCCTCATTTAAAGGACTCAGCTGATAAGCTTATTCCTACTTCAAACCATCTTCTAATTACTCCCCCAAATTGGTCTCAGGACTTTAATTTGGTCTACGAAACCTCCTCTCCTCCTTGGGAGGGCCTTCATCCAGTGAGTGCCCAGCACATTGGAAGAAATACTGAGGATGGGGATCGGGTACAGGACAGGCAACACTGAGCAGGGAAGACTTTCTTCCCAGTCATGCCCAGATCCTCATGGACATGGTGTGTCTCCTGCCAGCTGGGCCACGATGGGGCTTCCCCTGAGAGCTGCTGGCTGGTGGAGGAGCTGAGTCTGGCAGTGCCCACCCAGGGCACCAAGTACACACTGCGCTGCAACTGCTGGCTCGCCAAGGACCGAGGCGACGGGGTCACCTCCCGAGTCTTTGACCTCCTGGATGCCATGGTGGTGAACATCGGGGTGAAGGTATGGGGGAAGTGGGTATACATTTCAAGTGGGGCCGCAGCTAGGACATGGGAGGGAGGGAGGCAGGAGACTCATCGAGAGGCCGCTGACAGAAGCAAGAGCCTGGAATGCTGGCTATGCTCACTTTCTTAGGAGGCAGGTGACTCTACTTCCTTTTGGTCTGCTGCTGTGTGATCTTGGGAAAGTCACTTGTCCTCTCTGGGCCTTCCTCTTCTCATACCATATGGAAATAGTACTTCCCTTCATGGCCTGTCCTGTCTCAGATCTTGGGGAGAACTAATAAGCATGAATCATCCATGGAAAGCTTCAGAAAGTGACAAAACTCCACACAGTCACTCAAGGTCATTGTCTTCCTAGGGTGCTCCACCCACACCATAGCATGGGAATAGGGACAGATAGCACTTTGGATAGTCTCAGCCCCCCTCTGAGTTCTCATAGTGAGGTGAGTGTTTCTACACAGACTCTTTCTGTGTAAGGAAGACAGGAATTCTGAGCAACATGCTCCTCATCTATCTGGCTGAACGCCCTGGGACAGGTTGTGTGCATTCACGGGTGAGGGCCAGGCAGGAAGCAGGATGACTGAAGGCCAAGGGCACACAGGTAGTTGGTGTCCAGGGGCTTCTCTTTCTCTCTCATAAGTCGTGGGATCAACAGATGGCCTGGCTCAATCCAGACCAGTGGGCTCTGTTCCTCAAAGACCAGACCCACCTGTAACAGGAGGGCCGTGTTGTTCTGGACACTAAATTCCTCTTGGGTGGAATGTGGGCGCTGCCCCCACCCTCATCCCACAGGAGAGTGGGCTGAATTTGTGGCACGGACAGCCTCCCCGTCCCAGACATCTCCATCTGTGGTCGGACAGTGGTGTGGGTGAGCACCTCACTCATCGCAGCCCTCTGACCCATTTCCGGCCTGTGTGCCACCCCAGCACACAACACACCCCACTGAGGGCAGTGGCATCTCCTCCCAGCACTGTAGGCCCGAAATCCACCCCACACTCCTGCTATTCCCTGAACAAAGGAAGGCAGGTGTGTCACTTTGGACTGGCCTTGTCCCCACGTCACCTGATAGCAGGCTGAAATTACAGGAGCCCTGCTTCTGTCTCTTTCTGGGAACACACCAACTATATAAAAAGGATTGGGGACAGGATTCAGCTCACTGCTGTCTACTTCACAAGCACAAGGTCCCAAGTTCGATCTCCAGTACCTAATAATAATAATAATAATAATAATAATAATAATAATAATAAAAATTTTAAAAATAAAAAGGGATGTGCTTGTGTAAAGGAGAGGAGAACATGGAAAACATAGGGCTGGGGGTCAGCCCTCAGGGACCAGTCACCACCCGGCCACCAAGGCACCTATTTTATTACTTTATTCTTTATGCCTGTCTGGATAAGAGCAAAAAGAGTCAGGCTCAGTCTACATTCCCAGGATCTCCTCCTGCCCATCACAAGTGCCGTTGGTGGGTGGTCCAAGAGGTTTTCTGGTGGGAGCTGGCCTGTGGACCCACCCTGCACAGGGCACTTCTGATCTTGAGGTATCACAGTGGAGACTCCAGATGCTGCTAGGAAGGCAGCCACCCACCATACCCAGTGGCAGGGGCATAGCCACTGTGATAACTACCTGAGTTCTGGGATCCAGGCTTCCTGGGTAGTGGGAACCAGACATACCTGCCCAGCCATGATAGGACATGGCAGCCAGTGGAGCGAAGGAAGACCCGTGATGTTCCAAAGAGATAGAATGGTCTTCCTCCTTTCCTGAACTTGTAGACTTAATTGCTAGTCTGTGATCACCTAATAAAAGGAGCACAGTAAAAATCCAGGAACAGGGAACATTCCAGGGTGTGATCTAGGTGATGTCACTTGTCACAAGGCTTCCCTCAGAGGAAGATCAAGGCATGGCCTCAGGGAAGGAACCCAGGGAGGGCAGTTCTCCCTTACCCTCCAGTGGAGACAGACAAAGGGAGTTCACTTTTTTTGAGCGAATCTTATGCAAAAGAACAAAATCCCAATCTAAAGTTTAAAATTAGGTAAACAGACAATGGTCTCCTTAAATGTTACCCTCAGTGGCCCTCCTCATTCACAGACCTCAGTGAGTGATCTGGCTGTGGCAGGAAGTGGGGACACCAAACCACTGCTGTTCCTCGAGGCCTTGCACATAGCAGACTGAGCACCAGGCACCAACATAAAACTATCTGAAGATCTCTCAGCTCTGCCAGGGCTGTGCCCCTGTTTCCCTCAGGGATGCAGAGGTTGGAGAGAGGGACATCTGCCCAGGGTCAAAGGCTAGTAAGTAGGTAGCAGATCTCGGATTCATGTGGAGCTTTGGGTGACTCAACACCACAGTCCTGCCACCCTGCGCTGGTAGTGTGAAGCAACTGTCAGAATCAGTTAACATTCACTCAGCCATGTTCCCACTGCGCAGAGACCTCTGCCGGAACTGGACTCACCTCTAGCACTGGACTTGGCACAGGTTGGCCTCATAAGGGACAGGCTTGCCTTTTGCTCTCCAGCCATGTGCACTGGCTGAGAGGGCTCTTTTCAGAGCCAGGGTGGGGTTGGAAAGTTCACCTTCTTTCTCCAGGGAGATGGAGATGTGCTGAGTGGCTTGAAGGGGGAGGCTTAAGCCCAAGGCCATGCCCTTCTCATGGCAGGTGCTTTATGAAATGACAGTGTGGACAGGTGACGTGGTTGGCGGGGGCACTGACTCCAACATCTTTATGACTCTCTATGGCATCAACGGGAGCACAGAAGAGATGCAGCTGGACAAAAAGAAGGCCAGGTACCCAGAGGAAGCCCTGCCCATACCCTCCCATAGCCAACCCTCTGGCCGCTGCCCCATCCTTCCTTCAGCCGTACAGGCTCTGTCACACCTGTGGGGCCTTCCCACCACCACTCATCCCACCTGGACACTGTTCTCTTTCAAGAGCCAGCCCAAACCCACCTCCTCCAGGAGGCTCTCCACCACAGTCTATAATGATTCCTTTCTTCCTTTTGGCTTTTACCCAGTCATATAAAGATGCTCATTGTAAGGTCTGCAGATTAGTTGGTGGTGTGGCATTGTTGTTAATTTCTTGGTTTGTTTCGCAGTGCTATAGGAATGTGATATGCTGACATTAGGGGAAGCTGGGCGAAGAATACACGAAAGTCTTCTATTTTTGCAACTTTGGGTGTAAAATGACTGCAAAATAAAAAGCAATCAAATTTCAAACCAATAAAGACTAATTGAACATCTAGTATAGGCCAGGCACTGGCTCGGATGGTGGAGAGGGAGTAGGGCCAGGAAAGGCAAGGGTCCTGGACCCACATGACTCACCAACTAAGGAAAGCTACACACCTTGTCCTTCCCCACCCCAGGAGGGTCGTTGTTGTCGCTCCCCTTCCATAGGTGAGAAACTGAGGCATAGCAAGGGGAAGTCTTGATACACCAGGCCCATAACCAGTAAGCACCTTGATGGTCTCCAGTCCTAAGCTTTAGATTCTCTTAAACTGTGGTTAGAAATGATAGTAAGGTGGACCTCCTACAATACTCACTGTCTGTGCCTTTCATTGGACCCCCAGTGTAGACAGTCCAGGATTTGTGTTGTTTTTCCAAGTGCAACCATCATAGCTCCGACATCCTCGGCCACTGCCATCTTAACACCAGTGGGGAGAGACTCAAGATTCAAACCCAGGATTTTAAAAACCCATCCACAGACACTTTCCGTAGAACCACAGGTGCTCTCCCTCTGACCAGACAGCAGGATCTAAACTGGCTTCTTTCCAAGCTTTTCATCCCTTGTGCTCTGCCCTCCCAGTGCACATTCACTGGGTACTTCCTGGTCTTCCCTAGGAGGTGGTGCTGAGCACAGTGAGACTGGAGGTGAGGATGACAGGGATGGTGAGGGTGATGATGGTGATGAGGCAGCGACATCAGAGAGGATCCTGAAGCTCTTGGGGACCACGCAGGGGACAGATCAGTCCATGAGAGCATGATCTTTGTCCTTCCTCCACAGATCGTCCTGGGGTCTGGTGGGAATAGTTTTATCTATTTTTGGCACTTCTACCCTCCTGCTATGTACCTCCTATTTCCTCCCAGGGTTCTTCCGCAGAGTAACCAGCAGTGGTGATGACCCCATAATGGCTGACATTTACTAAAATTGCAGAAGTGGCCATGTTGTTAGTGCCTCTTACTTTAACTCTCAACAGCCCCTCCAGTCTTCACAGTTATCATCTCCACTTTACAATAAGGTGCCAGAGACACCAGGAGATGAAATAACTCGCCCAAGGTGACTCAGCTAGTGAATGAGAGAATTGGGATTTGAACTCAGGAAGTTGGGGGAATAAATGGTGATCCAATGAGAACAGAGCTGTTTATTTAGAGCTTGGTGTAGCAAGGAGTCAGTCACCATCACCAGGCCTGTCAGGGGCTCAAAAGAAGGTGCTTTAGGCTGAAGCATCCTTTGTGATATGGAGAGGCTGGGGGTGCACAGGGAAGAATCAAGTCTTCCTGTGAGTGCATTAGCAGGAACAGCATAAGGAGGCCAACAGACACTGACTAGGTCCTAATCATCCTGAGCCAACTGCCATAGAGGCCATAACTGGGGTGTGGGGGGCTCTATTACCATGCATGCTCTGGCTGCTGAGCCTCTGTGTATCAGCCCCTTATAGCCTTCACCTCTCTACTCCAGGTCGAATCTCCACCCAAGCCCAAATTCCTGGGTCTTCTGGCTGACTGTCTCACACTTGCCTTCCACTTTATTTTATAGATGCCCAAGGTGTTAAATGCTGGTGGGACAGATATACATCTCCTCTCTGGTAGTGTCTAAGTTCCAAAAAACATTGCTTGGAAATGCTGCTCATCATTATAAACACAGCCATAGTATAAATGCTTCCAGTCACTCTTGTTCTTTAAAGGATTTTTTCTGAATGCAAGTTTATTTTATAAGAAGAGCTAGCATTTGTCAGTCACCCTGGTCTTCAAGCCCAGAACCTTCACCTTAGGCATGCTTGGCTTTATTGCATTTCTGTGTGTCCAGATGGTACACCTCTATCTTGGGGTCCTTATTATGGGTGTCTGCACCTTGCCTGGGGGGCTTGGAAAGAAAGGCCCACTGGGCAAGTGTCACAGACATAGCTTGTTCCTATGCAAGGCAATATTTTCCCCAAGAAAGGCTGCAGGACCAGTACAGAGCACAGGCATGGCACGCTGGCCGCTGCGGTACCACTGTGGTCGGATGCTGTACCCAGAGGCTGGAGCTCAACACCAGCCATGGCAGTTCACTCAGCCCTGCTCCCCAGCTGAATGCATAAGGGCATCCAAATAAGTTATCAAGGAAAGCAGGCCTCTGTTCCACTGTCTGAGACCAGGAGTAGTTGGCTCTCACTTTGCAGCACTTGCAGTCTCAGCCCCCCTCTGGCTGTAGCCCTTTTTTAAAAAGATGCCTTCTATCCAAGGGAGCATAATAATTCCTATTTGAACTGCCTCTTCGGGGCCACCTGCACTGCCCCAGGGATTTATCAGCAGTAGCATCTGGAATCAGTCAGCAGTCAAGTAATCAGTCACCATTGAAGGTCGCTTGTACAGGTGGGACCGTGGGAAGAGCAGGAAGGAATAATGACAGAGCATTTCTGTGATGATGAAGTCATTCTGCAGAAAAATAATAATAGCAACAAATGCAACATTACCTTTGATTTGCTACTATTTTACAGTTGTCAGTAGCATTACCTAAACTAGGGCTGCTGTGTTCAGTCATGCAGATTGCACATAGAAAAATGTGAATGATACCTTCTGGAGTTGTGCAGTGTACAGCGTGCCCCACCATTCATGGTGGCCCTGTCACTCACAGTCTCATTTAAAGCTTTTCAAGTATGAAATTCTTTTTTGCCTCTGGAGTTGATTTTATATTCTTCTGGTCTCCACGATAGTTTTGTGGAATTGCAGGATTAGTGTCGGTCTCCTCAGACTACAGATGAGGAAGCCTACTTCCAGAAAGGATTGCAACTGTTCAAGGTGACTGTCAGAATGAGATTAGATCCCAGAACTGTCAGCTCTTGGTTCAGGACCGTCTCTACCAGTCAAACCCACTGAACCCAATCGTTTGGGAACACATTTGAGTGCAAAAGCCAAGCTGTTGGGGAGTTGCTGGGAGCATCGTGGGGCTGAGTAAAGGCCACAGCGTCCCTCCTTACCCCACATCTGGCTCTGGCTGTGGCCGGCTTCCCTTCTCTGTGCTCCTGCTCCCTCCCGGTCCCCAGATTCGAGCGGGAGCAGAATGATACCTTCATCATGGAGATACTGGACATCGCTCCATTCACCAAGATGCGGATTCGCATCGACGGCCTGGGCAGCCGGCCCGAGTGGTTCCTGGAGAGGGTGAGTGTCCAGACCCCACCTGCAACTCCTCCCTACTTTGCTGGATTATCACTGGCCTTCATTAGAGTACCAGCGCCTCTGAGGAGGGCTATTCCATGAGCCTCACTGTGATCCAGCTCACCCTTGGCATGACTTCATCAGAGAATGGAGTTTATTAATTTGTGTCCAGAAAGAGTGGAATCAGCTCCTGGAGCCCAGGACTTGAGCTGTCAACATAAGCTGGACATCTTGAAGTAGAGGAGACCTGTGGTGGGCCTCCTCTGGGACATGAGTTAGGGAGGCAGAGAAAGGAGCAGTGAGAACTGAGACATAGTGACGTTGTCACAGTGGGTGGGAAGACAGGTGGGCTTGAGGGCCCTGCACTCCCACAGGTCAGTGGCTTCCTCTTTCCATCTCTTCCCTCTGCCCCAGGAGGAGCCTGTGGACCAGCAGCCCAGCTAAGATCCCGGCCTGTGGACCCTCAGTGCCGGAGTACCAAGACCTCCGCTACAGCACCCTGGGGGTTCTCAGGCCCATCTCCACCCACCCTTCTCCTGTACATGTGTTCCACAAACTCAGTTTCCCCCAAGGGAAGCAGGCCACTGCACCTTCTTGGGACCTACCTTTTACAGTTTGCTGGCCTCCCTCAGCTTCATGGGGACTTAGGCTCCAGGCTGCCCAGAAAGGTTCACTAACTCTCACTGCCCTGGAGCAGAGATGAGGGTCCTCAAAGCCTGCACCAAGCAATGTGCTTTGATGAGAACTAACATGATACAGGGGTCCACTGTGCTTTCTATGTGTGGCCCAAATCTGGAGGCCATGACCACCAAGAGGAACCTGGCCTGCAGCCCCCCCAGTCACAGCAAAGACAAAGACTAATGACAAAGATGGAAGTCCTGCAAACACAGCCTCAATGTCACTCTATCCCTGCGTTCCACAACCTGTGTGGAGCTGGTGTTAGGCTGCCTTCCTTAGACATTTGTGTCTTGGGCCTGCCATGACAAAGGACCACAGGCTGGGGACTCAGGATAGCAGGCCTTTATTGTCTCGTAGTTCTGGAGGCTGGAAATCCAAGATCAGTGAGTCCCCTCCCTTAGGAGGTATGAGAAAGGATCTGCTTCAGCCCATGGTACCTGGGCAGTGGCAGACTGGCCCCAGCTTTCCCAGGGTACTCTCTAGAGTCCATGTTTGCTCTCCTGCAGGGCATAGAAACATGGGAAGTGTTGAATTAGGGCCCATTCTACCAATCTCATCTGGAGTGATTATACCTGTCACAACCATTTTCTAAATGAGGTCACATTCTGGAAGTCTTAGGACTCTGGCAGGACACATTTGGGAGGATGGGGGACACAATATCACCCATAACATGAAGTCTTCCACTCGCCTGCCTGGGTCAGTCTCTCATACCTCATCCAGTAAAGGCCATCTGTCCTGGGTCCCCTTAGGCTCTTCCGCTCCTGTTCAGACATTAACAGATTTCTCTTGCACTGACAATATGGTGCCATACTAAGGACAATCTGGCAATATTGTCAGTTCACTGCTCCCTGGGGTTTGTGGCTGACAGTGGCTTGGTTATTCTGTTTTTCTGTCACTTGCTCACAGACATTTCCATCTTTCAGAGGCATTTTCACTTCCTATTTCCTTCCAATGGAGGAGTCACTGAGGAGCTGTTAGACACTGAAGTCTGGTCACAGAGCTCCCCTTGGGTCTGGGACTTGGATCGCTGGGGTTCAGGAGGGGCTGCACTCAGTAGGGCAGGTAGGAAAAGGAAGCACATTCCTGCACGGGTCCCCATTCCCCCCCAGATACTGCTGAAGAACATGAGCACCGGAGATCTGACCATGTTCTACTATGGAGACTGGCTGTCACAGAGGAAGGGCAAGAAGACACTGGTGTGCGAGATGTGTGCCGTCATTGATGAGGAGGAGATGATGGAGTGGACATCCTACACTGTCACAGTGAAGACCAGCGATGTCCTGGGTGGGTCCCTTCCCACATCCCACCACCCTTGTCCTCCACCCTCATATTTTGGCTCAGTACCTGGTCTCCAGCTAAGGTATTTCTTCTTAAATGGCCATCTGAGAGCTAGTCAGTCCACAGTGTGCCATGCTTTTCCTGGACGGAGTATATCTCCTCCCAGGGACCAATTGGGCTCCTTCCCTAACCCCCAGAGACATGAGGGAGAATGTTTTTTGGGGATTCTTATCTGCCCTTTTAGAAAGGCCAAAGAGCCCCTGTGTTCTGGCTGCAGCCTCAACCAGGATATACATTTGGGGAATCCTTAGGGGGGCTGGGCAATCATCTACTGTGTGCCAGCTCTGGTTTGGCATCTGAGGATAGAGATGTGACTATCATGGAGCCTTTCAGGTCTGACTTTTGGGTGTGAGAAATTCAGTGCTGAGCAGCCTGGCCCTGACAGGTGCCAGCCCAGAGTCCTGCCAGAGGGAGCCCAGAGCAGAACAGGAGTGAGGCTCACAGGGACTTCCCAGAGGTGATGCCAAAGCCAAGTCCAGAAAGACAAACAGAAGCCACTTGGGCAGATGGAAATCTCAAAGGAAAGGCTTCCAGACAAATACAGGAGGAAAAACTAAAAAGTCAGTATCAAAGACAGGAGCTCAGAGGAAACCCACTTTCGTGTAGCCACTAAGGCCATGGTAGCTTATGCTTTTAACAGAATCATTTGTCCAAAGAAATAAAGGTCTCATGATGGACTCTCCAGCATAACCAATGGGTCAGTCAATCTGCTAAATTTTGTTTTCATCTTCTCTCTTTCCCCTTTCTCCTCATAATAGCACCTTAATTCCTTTTGTTAAAAGTCCAATTCCAAAATGAGAACCAAGACTTGGTTCCATGTGAAGGTACAGGATCCCGGTAATGAATGTAACTGTATTGTATACCTAGATTATACCAATAAACTCAATAAAAAGAAAAAAAAAGCCCAAGTCCACACTCTTTCATGCCCCTCTATCCTTCACAGTGTGCTCTTAGAAAGTAACCACTAAATTCACACAAACATCAGGCATGTGTCAGACAAGCCTCACAGGACCTCCTATTTCAAAGATATTTGCATTTATTTATTTAGTGGTATTGCGGGGTTGAACCCAGGACATTTACACTGAGTTACATCCTCAGCCCTGTTTTTCAAAATTTTGAGACTGGGTCTTCCAAAGTCACTAAGCAACCAAGGTTGGACTCACACTCACTGTCCTCCTGCCTCCTCATCCTGGGATTTCAGGGATGCACCTCCACACTGGGCTAACATTTGCTTTATAACTGGACACTAGACATACTTCCTTTTGGCTTAATCAAATGATCTGAAACTCTAGTGACGAATGTCAGCCAAGTGGACTTGGGGGAGTACACACCATTATGCTTTTTCCTGAACCCAGCTCCTGCGGGAGAAAGCCTGTAAAGCCAGGCAGCATGGCATACCTCTTAAATTTGGGAGCTTTCTCCCAGAAATAAATGCATTTTTGTGCTAAAACATTCACAGTTTTATGGCTGCAGTTAGGCCAAATAGCATTTGGAAGGCACAAAGAGAAGGGTATCGTGGAACTCTAAACCATGAATCCCTGGATATTCGCCCATGCTTTGTGACCTCTCTTCTGGCCTGTCAACTCTGCATTCTGCACATCTGTCCCAGGGCTCCTCTAAGGACCAGAAGCAGGGCCAGAGCAAGGGGCCTAGGTGTCTGAGACTGGCACTAAGAGCCTTCTCTTGTGCACCCCAGGAGCAGGCACCGATGCCAACGTGTTCATCATCATCTTTGGGGAGAACGGGGACAGCGGGACCTTGGCCCTGAAGCAGTCAGCCAACTGGAATAAGTTTGAGCGGAACAACACAGACACGTTCAATTTCTCTGACATGCTGAGCCTAGGCCATCTCTGCAAGCTGAGGATCTGGCATGACAACAAAGGTACCTCCTGCTTGGGGCCAGGGTGCGAGAGGGCAGCCCTTGCCCTCCAGGCCCTCCTTGCCTCCTAGGCAGCATGGTGACTCTACCACTCCAGGGACAGGCAGCTCAGAGCAGTGCATTGCCATTATTCTAACCGTGCTACCAGTTAGAGCTAACATTTCTGGGCAGATCACAGGGATAATGCTTAGCTCTTCCTGCTTTCTCCTGGATGACTCTTGGCTCTTCATTTTTTGTGATATCATAGCATAAATTCTACTTAGTTCAGGCATAAAAATTAAGGATAAGGGGCTGATCTGGGGTAGAGCAGTTACCTAGTGTGCATGAAAGTCTGGGTTCAATCCCCTGCACCGCAAAAAGGAAGGGGCAGGGAGGAAGGGAGGAAGGAAGGAAAAAGTAAAAAGAACTATCTTTCCAAATTTACTTCCCATGGATTTTCTATAAAGAATTATACTTGTTTGTTTATAATAGTAAGCCTGAAAATGGCTAAATTTATAAAGTATGAAACAGGATAGAGAACAAGTGAGAAATTCATTTTTTAACTTTAAAGTACCTAAGGAATACTTTGTCATATCTGTAACTGTGATGATATCCATGTTCTCAACATTTCTTTGATTAGCACTTCATTGTCTTCAGCCCTCCTATTTTCTTTGGCTTTCAACCTGTAAGTTCTATTTGATGCCAGAGAGTTGAATGGTTCATTATATACCAAAATTCACTTTCGTAGGGCAGACTGCTTTCCTAACCGCTCTCTCCTATCTTGTGCTGAAGTGGCCTTTGCCCTTAGATCCATTCAAGGTCTTCTCTAATCTGTATTCCATGTCCCCCTCCAGCCTCCAGAGCTGTCCTGATGCTGTGTTGCAGGTGGGCCCATCCCTCAGGGTAGCTGATGCAACCAACTCCATTTGGCAAGCACTTTTCTAAAGAGGTTGCACTGTTTTGCTTTAACATGGTAAAGCAGTTAAAATGTTTCCTCTAACACTGAGTATACTCAGATAAGACACATGAAATAGCCATTCTTCAAAGCAATAAAATAATGAATACTTGCACAGCTTTCCAGTTTTCAAATTACCTGTGCATCCATCCAGTCTTCCACATACCAAAAGTGCCCTGGTGCCCCATGGTACTCTGTCAAGGTTGTAAACATTTGGTTTGCAAAAACACTTTGCGTTTGGGGTTTTTTGGGGTGTTTTTTACGGGGGGTACCAGGGATTGAACTCGGGTCCTTGCTCTTGCAAGGCAGGCCACCGAACCGCTGAGCTAAATCCCTGGCCCAACACTTTGTGTTTTAACAAAGCACAACATCACATTATTACATTGTTATTCTTCTTCTACAACCAAAGAATATGGAGGCCTGGGGCGGTTGGAATGTCTCGGGGTCACACAGGAAGAAAGGGCACAGCCAGTGCTAGCTGAAGGTCTTCTAGAGCCTGTGCTGTACACAGCCCATCCTGGCAGTCACAGCTGGCACACAGTCACTGGCCACCATGCCAGAGGCTCAGACAGGAAGATGAGAGACAGCTTCTCTGTTTTCTGTGCTCCCCAGTAAGTTTATTGTCAGAGTGCATGTAGAGTGGGGGGTGGTCATATCCAGAAAAGGTGCCTTCGAAAGGGACTCCTCTTCCTCACCTGTGCATTCAAATGGCATCTTGAGTCTATGCAAAGAACTATACCTGCAAAAATTTTCAATTATCCTTCATGAAGAAGAAAACAACACCAAGACCCCTGAGCTTCTCCCATTGTTCACCATGATTGTCTCAGGACCAGTAGTAGGGTGGCTGGTGGTTGAAAGTCTGACTGAATAATAATCATCATATTCATCATATTCATGATGATTCTCATGCCCCAGGCACAGTGGGGAACAGAATGGGGACTCAACAATTATTAGCTCCCCAGGCCAGAGAGAACTAAAAAAATACCACATCTTTTAATTGTCCTTCCATAGCCTCTGCCTTAGAAGCAACAGAACAAAAGGAACTACAATGCTGAGAAGGAAGAAATAGTATTCCCAGGCAGTTTAAGGTATTCCATCAGGATCAACCACAGAGGACACAGGCTTCCCAGCCACCACCCAGTCAGGCCGCACAAGTATGTAAGGTAGAATTTCATGTAGTCTAGATAATCTCCTTTATCCAAGAAGGAAGACCATGCCAGGGTGATTTACAAATGATTGCTTCATTTGAGGTGGATGAAGGTGGCAGGGATGGCCAGGAAGACTAAGGACATCCATGGTAAAAAGTATACTTTCCAAAACATCATTTAACAGTCTTTGGACTCCGTGGAACTGTCCAGGGTTCTGACTCCTCCTCTGGTTTCTGTTGACCCTGGGACTTTACAGCCTGGTCCTGGGTTCCTGCGATGGAGACTGACTATTCTCAACCTGGCCTACTATAGACACCTAAATGCTTGGCAAAATGATCCAGCTTACCATGTATTCCACCCTCAGTTAACACATAAATGGCAGAGGAATGCTGATTTACGATTAGAACTCATCTTCATGAGTCCTGCCTGCAAAGACCTCTGTCTCCAGCTTCCCCCATCCTGAGTCCCTCATAACCAAGCCTTTTGCTCCTCAGCTCCTCTTCTGGGGCCACCACACCTTAATGTTTTCCCTCACCTTCCGTCTCAGGCTATTTCTTATGAATATCCTTCCAGAATCCTCAGAGGCATGCCTGCCTCCATGCCATCCTTTCCTCCCCATCTAGGAAAGTAGATTCTCATGTGCTTACGAAGAAGTTTAAAGGTCATGCAGTAGCATTTCAGCAGTCAGGGATAATATTTGTTTCCAGTGATGTCTAAGTTTCTTCCTGTCTTGTTATTTTCCTCCTCCCTAATATGACTTCTCCTTGGAAAACATTAACAGTTCAGGGCCTTTTCGACTGCAGCCCAAACAGTCCCCAGTGTTCATATTGACATTGCTTAATAAGTCAAGTTCAGTTGGTTGCAGTTGTTCACAGTAGTCATGCAGTATAAAGAGGCTATGAATACTGAATTAGTAAATACTGAACCATTGCTCCTAGAGGAGATACAGTGTTGGGTTCCTGTGAACCTCTGGTTAAAATAACTGCAGTACATAATCTTTTTTATGCTTGTGTCTATTTAAAGGCATCTTATTTGATATACATTGTTTATTTGTTAACATTGAGCTTAGAACCCACAGCACTATAACTCATACCTTAAGGAAACTTGCCTAACATGTATTTTCTCTGAAAACTACAGCCCAGACTTCTTGCATTTAGAAGCACTAAGCAGCTCTTCAGCTTGGGGCTAAATATTATGTTTGGAGGCCATTTTTAAACAAAGAACTCACCATCAGAAAGCACAAAAAAATGTGAAATCTTGGTGCTAACCAGACAAGAAAAAAGTACACACTTACAGGGTAAGAGCTGAACCAAGAAGACAATGTTGCCTCATTGGCTTCAGCTGAGAACATGTGTACCAGGTGACTCATATTTTTAACCATTCTGCATGTATTCAGGAATAACCAGATGAAAATTAATTTGAGGGTGGCAAACAAATTTTAGCAAATAGGAAAATCCACAAGTTGATAGCATACAGAGGATCAACCCTAGGTACTGAGATTTTACCATCAGGCATTGTATCCAGTTCTGGGGACAGAACAGTAAGCAGCAGGGAAGTTTCTTGTCATTTTAAGACAAACTTGTAGCAGAAAAGTACATTTATTAAACAAAGTAACTAATTTAAATAATTATGAGCCTCTAAAGTGGAGGTCCCAGGGTGCTAGACTGAGGACTCAAAGAAAGCCTCTCTGAGGAAATGATCTCTAAACTGAGACTTGAGGAATAAACATGAGATATTCAGTGAAATGTGGTGACTGCTAAAAGTGAAGGAGCGCCTTTGAGGTGGAGTGAATAGCAAATATAAAAGCCCTGAAACAGAAAAAATCTTGATAAATGCCAGAAAGCCAAGAAAAATCCAGAATGACTACAAAATAAGGAATGGAGTTGGACGCTAAGATATAGACAGGGACAGGCTGTGCATGGCATGGAAAGTTACTTCAAAGATTGGCTCTTTACCCTGACTACACTGAAAAACAACCAAAGAATCTAAAAACAGGAATCACTCAGGGAAGATCATTGTATAAACTATGGGGAATATGATAGAGAAAAAAAATGAACTTATAGCTGACGATGCTTAAAAGGTTGGTGGGAGAGGACGATGTTTTGCAATATGATGATAGGAATGAGAATTTTTTAAATGTAGGGAAATTTGAATAATATTTAAGGCAGAGGAGAGGATGCTGGTGGGCTTTCTTCACCTTAATAAGTTTAATTTGAAGGCCTCAGAGATATCCAAGTGTTTTCCAGCAACAGTGAGGGGACAGGACCTCAGGAGGAAAACTAGTTGGGAGATACTGACCTGAGATGTTAATCTAAGGGTTATTAGTGCAGACACATATTGAAGCAACAAAATAAGAGTGAATCAGAGTCCATGGAAAAGTGTGACTTAAGGAAAACAACAGTGATCCAGAGCAGATTCCCAAGAATTCCAGCATTTAAGGTCAAATAATGAAAGGGAAGAAAGAGGGGAGTAGAATGATCTCTATATAGTATACTTCCAAACTGAAATGTATTTGGGGAAGAACTCATGTGTAGACTGTAATGCAAGGATTGTTCACTGGTCAGGAAATCCCAAAATGTGGTATATTGTTGCCCAACTCCAAAGTTTCCTGGAAATAAATTTAGTAGACAAAACATTAAGCCACATTTGTTTTCAGATAGTGAAGCAATTCAAAATATTTAAAATATTGATTTCCTCCTAGAACTTCCTAGAGTTCTTTGATGAGAAATTTTGTGACATAGCTAACCATTCAAGTCACTGTCATAGACAGGATGGGGAGATGAATGACCTCTCATCATTCATGTGTTAGTGCTTATCAGATAAAGATGCTCTTTACTTCCTCCTAGGTGAACGCGCACTTGCGCGCGCACGCACACACACACACACACACACACACACACACACACACCCAATGTCAGAGA